AAAAAAGGGCTATGCTATATAGGATGCCATCACATTTAATAAGTGACTGTGGTTGGTGTTGCTGGCAGAAGCACATCAAACAATGAGGGCAAATCCAAATCCAAAATAAGTTTCTTTGTCATTGGGGCCAAGACACTGCCCTCTCTATGATGGCAGGGGCCCAGTGCAGTCAACCTGCCATCAGGGGGAGAGGGGAAGCGCACGCTGCTGAGGCTGTGCGTAGGCGCCACACACGACACTGACCGCGGCCCCACTGCATAATCCTTGAAGAGGCTGGGCAGAGAGGCCAACTTTCATCCACAGAAGGGCCATCTGGGCCACTGATTACTGAGTGCATCCTCTCCTGGGAGCTAGGGAGTATTGATGTGGGACAGAAATAGCTCCCATTCTGGGCCAATTCAGCATTGCACTCCTAATGGAACAGTTCAATACAGTAAATATGTTACTAGGTAGATGAGTGTTCCCACCCCCAAGGTTATCATTACTGTTAATAACAATCACAATAATAACACTTAATGAGTGCTAACTATATTCTTGTGCTTGTAATTAACCCACTGAATCCCTTTCAAAACAAATGAGGTAGATGTCATCAAATCCATTTAACAGATGAGGCAGAGTTGCTTTACAGAGATGTGAGGTGAGCTGCCCAGAGTTTTTCTTGAAAGGGCCAACCCAGATTTGAAGCCAGGTGGTCTGGCCTTAAAGCCTTTGCTGGGCCACCTTTCACCCCAGCCTCTCTGACCCGCTGCTTTCTTCCAATGGGCACATATCCCTAGGTCTGCATCTGCGGGAGTGCTTTTTCCTCTGCCGTGAGAATTTCCTCTCACTTCTCCCTCTGATTGCAGCTCGAGTGTCACTTTCCAGGGAAGCCTCTCCTAATCCCTGAGACAAAGCTGGCTTCTCTTTCACATGCTCTGATGGCTCCCAGTATTTGTCGTGCATGTCACCCAACACGGCATGGGGTGTGCTCACGTGTGTGATAGTTATTGTAAGCGCCTCACTGTTTGCTCACCACCTATGCAGGGCCTGGCGTGCAGAAGGCATACGATAAACAATGGTTGAATGTGTCTGGTGACGGGCCCTGGGTGTGTCCTTGAGAGCTGGGGATGGATTTTATGCTGTGTGTGTGACTGGCGGGTGGTGAATTGCTGTTTTTGAGCCCCCGTCGCCACATACTTGGTGCCTGAGAGCAGTTGAAGCTGTGGAGCCTGGGGGTTTATTTTTCTGTCCACAAGATAGCTTGCTTCTCTTTTTCCTTCCAGGCTCAAGATCATTCAGTCTGGGCAAGTGTGGCCGGGCACTTTTGTTGGGCCATCATCCAGACGGAGCCATTCTTGCCTTTTGGCTCTGAGCTGCAGGTTTCCACATGACATCATCTCACTTCACGTGCAGTGTCTTAGGGGACAGAGACTACCTCAAACCATCTGGTGTGTGGCAGACACATGGTTTTCACCGGATCATGGTTTTCAACCCTGTCTGCATGAAGGACTCACCTGCAGAGTTACTGAAAATACTGATGGGGCTGGTGCTGTGGCGTGGTAGGTTAAGCCACTGCCTGCAATGCCGGGATCCCATATGGGCACAGGTTTGAGCGATCCCATCCTGGCTGCTCCATTTCCCATGCAGCTCCCTGCTAATGTGCTTGGGAAGGCAGCAGGGATGGCCCAAGTGCTTGGGCCCTTGAACCTGCATGGGAGACCTGGATGAAGCTCCTGGCTCCTGGCTTTGGACTGGCCCAGCTCTAGCCATTACAGCCGTTTGGAGAATGAGCCAGCAGATGGAAGACCTCTCTCTCTCTCTATGTCTCCTTCTGTCTCTCTGCAACTCTGCCTTTCAAATAAATAAATCTTTTTTGTTTTTAAAAAAAGAAAGAAAATACTGATGCCCGAGGCCCAACTAACACTGATTAGGTCACAGTCCCTGGTGATGGATGCTGGCATTTCCACAGATGTGCTCTTAAGGCCGAGAACCACTAGAGCAGGGTCTAGACATGCAGCTCTCGTTCTCTCCTGCCTCCCTCAAAGAAGAGGGGCAGTGTACACATGCAGTTTGTGCAGGGTTGACTAGTTGTCCATCAGCTACCTTGTGAGAAACAGAAGTATTGGTAGGAAATGAAAGCATAGAACATGTGATCTCTGTATTGTGTTTTAAATAACAGTAGTTCAGACAGATGTCTTGTTTCATTCCAGTTTAAACTATAATTTTGTTGTTATTTTAGGATTATTGAGGCTGTGCTTTATTTTTCTTACCTGCAAGAAGGCCAAGAATTGTCCAGAGAGAATTAGACTCTGCTGCAGGGCAGGGCCCGTGGTGGTTTTGTTCCAAGCTGAAGCCTGAGCGTGTAGCGTAGAGCTTGGCATTCAGAGGGAATCTGAGAAGTTTTTCTGTGTTAATAGCCAAGTGCTGGAATGCATGAGTGGGTGAACGAGACAACACGGCACATGCACTTCTGTGGGGGTGTTCCTGATAGGATGTGAAGGAAGATGCACACGATAAGGGGCCTGGGTGCAAACAGCAGCTGCAGGGACATCTCTGGGGAGCAGTGGGAGGCAAGCAAAGGTTTAGGGTCCCAGTTAGGGAGACTGACCCAACCTCATATGTTTGCAACCTTAAAGAGATGGGAAAGGAAACCAAAAACATAACACTGCAGCTGCGAGTTGTCTCACCTACTTTCTGAAAAAGAGCAGAGTGGAAATGTTTGGAGAAAGAAATCTTTTTAAACTGGGGGGAACCACAGTTCCCTTTGGGTATGCATACCATATGGACATATGTCGCGATTGCATGATTTATGGTGTAATGATTTTAGTTTGTAGAGGACAGACTGTCCTGTTGTGATATTGGATGCGTCATTGTGGGATTTTGTCTTTGGAAGTCCTGCTCTTCTGTGTGGGTTGCATGGTTGGAGCACATGCAGCACAAAAAAGTGGACTGGACACTTGGTGGGTTTTGCCTACTCGGGGCACTGGGAACTTTACTCCAGTTACCATGCAAGATCCAAATGGTCACAGACCAAGCGTTTGTTGTGCAAGTTATCTCATATGCATGGGAGATCATATTATATACTACACATGTGCATAATGTGACACCTCCACATGGGAGAGCAGCTCACATCCCATTACCTCCCTGGGGTGGCGAGGGGACCCTGGTTGAGAGCTCTGTGGATGGATGACCCAGAAACCTGTGCCTCGGGCTATGCTGTCATCGTTTTCAGTTCCTCCTTGCTAAGGAACCAGTGCTGACTTCCATGTGGTCAAGGGGATGGTTTCGGTCCTGCAGATTCTCCTCTGGTCTTCGTCACCATGAAGGCAGAAGCAACACTCACTTTCACTCTCTTCCTTTTCTCTGTTCGAGGTAATAATTGCCAGTTCACCATAGTAGCTTGTTTTTTTGTGGTTCTGAGAAGAATGCCTGGGGCTTGGGGTGATGAGAGAGGCTGGGACTCTCCTCCCCTGTTGGGTCTCGGGTCTTCACGCCTGGGGACTCAAGTTAGCTACTGAACAAGCCAGGCTGTTTAGAACACAACTGTGTTGCCTATTTTTTTTTTTTTTTTTTTGACAGGCAGAGTGGACAGTGACAGTGAGAGAGAGAGAGACAGAGAGAAAGGTCTTCCTTTTACTGTTGGTTCACCCCCCAGTGGCCGTTGCGGCTGGCGTGTTGTGGCCGGCACACTGTGCTGATCTGAAGCCAGGAGCCAGGTGCTTCTCCTGGTCTCCCATGGGGGGCAGGGCCCAAGCACTTGTGCCATCCTCCACTGCCCTCCCGGGCCACAGTAGAGAGCTGGACTGGAAGAGGGGCAACCGGGACAGAATCCGGCGCCCCGACCAGGACTAGAACTGAGTGTGCTGGCGCCGCAGGTGGAGGATTAGCCTAGTGAGCCGCGGCACCGGCCTCTGTTATCTCTTAGCACTTCCCGTTGAACTTGATTTCCTGACTCATTCCTCCTCACTGGATTTCGGGTGGCTATTATAGCCTTTCTTGTTACAATGACATAATACGCTGAAAGACTCAGTCAGATAATCAGAAAACTGCGAACTCCCATCGAGTTAGCTTTTCTCCCCTCGCCCAGCCCAGGCTCGGTCTTGGACGGCTGAGACGGTGCAGGTGGAGCTTGGTCAGCCTTTGTCTCCTCCGGACTCCCTTGTTTGGAATGACTGAGGCCAGGCATTTGCAACTGTAGGTGCCATTTTCTTGTCTTAGTTGTGCTTCTGGGGTATCTTCAGCATACCTGCACTGCTGGGATCGCTCCTGGCAGCTCTCGTGGGCACAGGTGGTGCCTCTTCTGGTTGCCGGCTACTGCCTCGCCACAGCCCTGCTTCCCTGAGCGTCAGCTCCTCCAGCTGCTCCTAATTGGCACAGCCCCTCTCAGCCCATTGAGAATCTTCCTGCTGGACAGAGTCCATGTCTGGTCCATCAACAGATGGCTTTTTCCTCACCGAACTCTAGACAAGCATACTATTCCCCATGTTACCTTTCTTCCCTTCTCTGCTGTTCGAAGGCAGGCTTCTTGCCTTATACTTTCATTTGCATGTAAAGCATCAAAGCCCTCATCTCACACATTCCAGGAATATATGCCAGGCTTTCTGAATGGCTCTAGTAAGGCTACCCTAACTTAATACGTTGAGGAAGTGTGGTAGGCAGAATAATGGTCCCAAAGACATCCAAGTCCTGGAGTCACGGGTTCTTACAGCCACTGTGACTAAATTAAATTATGTAGCAAAGTGGAATGAAGGCTGCTAATGTAGTTGACTTTAAGGCAGGGAAATTATCCTGAATTATCTTCATGGGCTCAGTGTGGGGCCCATAGGAGCAGAAATGAAAGGCGGAAGCAGGTTCAGTGTCCAGGGACAGGATGTGAGAATTCAGCCTGCTGTTGCTCGCCTGTGTGCCAGGCCTCGAGAAGCAAGTGCGTTTCCTCAGAGCCTCTAGAAAGAAAGGGAGCTCTGACATATCTGGATTTTACTCCACTGAGACCGTGTTTGACTTTTTTTTTTTTTTGACAGGCAGAGTTAGACAGAGAGAAAGGTCTTCCTTCGTGTTTGACTTTTGACATCCAAAACTGTAAGTAAAACATAAGATGTTTTAAGCCCTTCAGTGTGTGGTGATTTGTTATAGCAGCAGTAGAAAAACAGTATAGGAGGCAAATCTGCCTGTCTTCCACTTGGAAGTGGGTGAGAGGCAGACAGGAAGTGCATGAGAGTAACCACTTCATTTTAGAAGTCTTCATTGGAAATGTTGAAAGCTTTTCCTTTCAGGTCAGGAATGAGACATGGATTCCCCAAACCTCCACTTCTGTTCAACAACCGGAGGTCCTTGCCAGTGTAATTAAGCAAGAAAACAAAAAAGTAGAATTGGAAAGAAAGAAAAATGACTTTATTCACAGATGATATGATTGTATACACAGAAAACCCCACAGCAGCTCCAGGCAAGTTACTGGAATTAATAAGGGTGTTGTGTTAGGTTATTATTATGAAGCCAACATACATCAGTCAGTTGGGAGTAGGGAAGAATTAAGCTCCACCTGCTGGAGGGGGGAGTACCTATGTATATTACTTGGGATTGTTCTGAGGAAGATTTGTTTCTTTGGTTCCATTTATTTATTTATTAAGTTACTTACTTATATCTGTATGGACTCATGCACATATACTTTGTACTTTGGATTCTAATCCTTTGTTTGTTTGTTTGTTTGTTTTTTGACAGGCAGAGTGGACAGTGAGAGAGAGAGACAGAGAGAAAGGTCTTCCTTTGCCGTTGGTTCACCCTCCAATGGCCGCCGCGGCCGGCGCGCTGCGGCCGGCGCACCGCGCTGATCCGATGGCAGGAGCCAGGTACTTCTCCTGGTCTCCCATGGGGTGCAGGGCCCAAGCACTTGGGCCATCCTCCACTGCCCTCCCGGGCCACAGCAGAGAGCTGGCCTGGAAGAGGGGCAAGCGGGACAGAATCCAGCACCCTGACTGGGACTAGAACCTGGTGTGCCGGCGCTGCAAGGCAGAGGATTAGCCTAGTGAGCCGTGGCACTGGCCTCTAATCCTTTTAATTTATTGCCCAAATTGCTCTAGCTTTGGCCATTGAAAGCTCTTTCAAGTTGGTTCCTGTGTCCTTTATATATGCCATCATTCTTCTGTTTTTTGAGAACTTTCTTCTCCTTTTTTTTTTTTTTAAAGATTTTATTTATTTATTTGAGAGGTAGAGTTACAGACACAGAGAGGGAGAGACAGAGAAAGGTCTTCCATTTGCTGTTTCACTCCCCCAAATGGCCACAGAGGCTGGAGCTGAGCTGACCTGAAGCCAGGAGCAAGGAGCTTCTTTGGGGTTTTCCATGTGGGTGCAGGGGCCCGAGCACTTGGGCCATCTTCTGCTGCTTTCCCAGGCCATAGCAGAGAGCTAGATCGGAAGAGGAGCAGCCAGGACTTGAACCGGCACCCATATGGGATGCAGGCACCACAGGCGGAGGCTTAGCCCATTACTCCACAGCACTGGCCCCAGCTTTCTTTCTTTTTTTTTTTTTTTAAAGATTTATTTTACTGATTTGAAAGAGTAACAGAGAGAGGCAGAGAGAGAGAGAGAGAGAGAGAGAGAGGTCTTCCATCTGCTGGTTCACTCCCCAGATGGCTGCAACAGCCAGAGCTGAGCTGATCTGAAGCTGGGAGCCAGGAGCTTCCTCCAGGCCTCCCACGCGGGTGCAGGGGCCCAAGGACTTGGGCCATCTTCTACTGCTATCCAGGCCATAGCAGAGAGCTGGATCAGAAGAGAAGCAGCTGGGACTAGAACCAGCGCCCATATGGGATGCTGGTGCTTCAGGCCAGGGCGTTGACCCCTGCACCACAGTGCCCGCCCCTGACCCCAGCTTTCTTACTTTCTGACACTACAGGTACTGCAGGGTCATCTGTGTTTCTCCATCCCAGCCCTGTGTCATCCGTTTCTCCAAGGACCCCTGACTTCTGTTGGAGAATGGCGTTTAGGAACTAAGATCCACGTGTTGGATGTGCTTGTTGCTGCTGGAGTGTCATTGCTTCAAGCTCTCTCGGCCAACAAATCCAGATAATACACACACGTGTATGTATTTCTGCACTCATACATCTGTGATTATGTTAAGGAAACTGATTTCATGTTGATGTCCCAACGCTAATTCATTACATTAGTGCTAATTTTAGTGTTCGCATAACCAAACTAAGGAAGGAAATGGGATTCAGGTTCAACTGACCCAGCACTCAAAGGCATCAAGCTTTTAGTCCCATTATTTTTTTACTCTCATGCATTTTGGAATTGGCCATTTTCTGTTGGATTCTTCTGTATTTCTGGGGGACTGGTTACTAGCAGGCCTAGAGTCACATGTAGATAGCTCTCAGTTTAAGGAGAGAAGGGGGCTAACTTCCTACCCACCCTTGTGCGCTCTTGCTGTGATGGGTTCTTTTGTGCTTAGGGCAGCAGTGGGAGTGCAGGGACTGAGTTTAGCAGCCCCATTTGAATACGTGATTGCCAGGAAGGAGTTTCCCAGTGGAAGGGGATTCTTGGTATCAGCAATGAGGATGGAGCGGAGAAGGATGCTGGCGAATATAACCAGGAGCTGGTCTGTTCTGTATATCAGCTTAGTCACTGTCATGGTTCACAAGGCTGTGGATACAGATGCGGCTATATAAACATGTACATGTTCCTAGGAAGAATGGACTCTGGATATGACTGCTCTTTCTTTCCTGTATGATAGGTATTTTTTTTTTTTTTTACCATTAATGTCATTTGTTATATAATGAAGAAATAGAATACTTAAAAGAAACTATGAATATTTTTTCTAGATTTTTGTTACTTTCCAAAAATGAATTTACCCTTCCCAATGAGAGTTCTTTTTATTTTTTTAGTTTTTAAATTTTATCTATTTGAAAGGCAGAGTGACAGGGAGAAAGAGAGAGGAGAGAGAGAGAGAGAGATTGATTGATTTTCCATCTGTTGGTTTGCTCCCCAAATGACCACAACAGCCGAAACTCCATCTAGGTCTCACATAGGGGTGGCAAGGGTCTAAGTAACTGGGCCATCTTATTTCCCAGGTGCATTAGCTCCAATCCAGGAGCTGGATTGGAAGTGGAGCAGCTAGAACTTAAACCAGCACTCATATTTGATACTGGGGTCTTGGGTGGTGGTTTAACCCACAATGCCCCCCACTAAGAGTTTTTTTTTTTTTTTGAGATTTATTTATTTATTTGAAAGGCAGAGTTACAGAGAGGTAGAGGCAGAGAGAGAGCGAGAGACAGAGAGGGAAGTCTTCCATCTACTGGTTCACTCCCCAAATGGCTGCAACAGCCGGTGCTAGGCCAATCCAAAGCCAGGAACCACAAGCCTCTTCCAGGTCCCATGTGGGTGCAGGGGCCCAAGGACTTGGGCCATCTTCTACTTCTTTCCCAGGCCACAGCAGAGAGCTAAATTGGAATTGGAGCAGCCGGAACTTGAACCGGTGCCCATATGGGATGCTGGCAGTGCAGGCGACAGCTTTACCTGCTACGCCACAGCGCCGGCCCCTAAGAGTTCTTTGACCTGAACTTTCAGAGTGGTCTCCTCTGCCTGCTCTACAGCAGTGCTTCTGCCCACCTGTGTGCATGTCGCACTGTCTGTGGTGGCCCTGGGTGGAAGGGCCTGTTCCCCAGGCTCTGGCCCATTGTCAGTGTTCTAGAGAAACCTGGACCCACATAATGTCATCAAAAGGAGGAACTCATTCCCCGACTCAAGGCCCAGGAAGACTCCATGCAGCAGCCCCAGTCCTTTTTAGTCTGAGAGAGTCTCCACAGGTTAAGGATGCTGTATTTGTCCAAGCAGGGGAGCGCGACTTCTGAGGGCGGGGTCTGTGGCTGCCCCTTCCTTGTGCTCTCCTCCTGGTGCACAGCAGGCACTCAAGAGGAATGAGGGGTCCCACCCCTTGGTTTTCCTGCTGGGTTTCCTGTTCTCAGGGCACACAAACAGAGGACAGCACGGATTCCCTGGAGGGTCTGGGGTCTGCTGGCCAAGTCTCCCATCACATTCTGTGCAGGAGTCCCTGTGAGGCCTGTGGGCCACTCTGAGCAGCTAAAATAGTCACTGCTCTGTGTGTGTGTGTGTGTGTGTGTGTTTTTTAAAGATTTATTTATTTGAAAGTCAGAGTTATACAGAGAGAAGGAGAGGCAGAGAGAGAGAGACAGAGAGAGAGAGAGAGAGAGAGAGAGGTCTTCCATTCGCTGGTTCACTCCTCAGTTGGCCTCAATGGCCAGAGCTGCATGGATCTGAAGCCAGGAGCCAGGAGCTTCTTCCGGGTCTCCCACATGAGTGCAGGGGCCCAAGCACTCAGGCCATCTTCTACTGCTTTCCCAGGCCATAGCAGAGAGCTGGATCAGAAGTGGAGCAGTGGGGACTCAAACCATTGCCCATATGGGATGCCAGCACTGCAGGCTGAAGCTCCTCCCACTACGCCACAGCACCGGCCCCAGCTGCTCTAATTTTTCAGCCATTCTTCTCCCTTCTCTCCACGCACCCCTCCTTTCCTGTCCCCGGCCTCCAGCTTGTTGCCCATGCTTGTTTCCCACGGGCTTTGACGGGAGGGACCCAGCCGCACCTCTTGGAGAAGTTGATGCATGTCAACCAACCTGGGTCTCTCCCGCTCTGCTCCACCTCCATCATAAGGCTGGTCCCCAGCCAAGAAGGGGAAATGTGGCCAAGCTATTTACTTCCCCCACCCCTATTCAGAGAAAGTCTTAGCACCCCAGGTACCCGGGGACGCAGGAACAGAAACATGAGCAGGACTTCCCTTTCTCTCACCACAGCAGTGATTATCTTTTTTTTGGCCACTTTAGGTTTGGCCAAGATTCCTTGTCTGTTTGGAAGAGTCGGGCAGCTCCTGAGTGTGCAGGGAGTGCACACTCTCCAGGCTGGCAAGTGTGGCTGGGACACCTGCCTCCCACTCCGCTTCCTGCGGTCAGGCCGGGATCCGGATGGAGCCCCTGAGGCCTTCCTGGCAGAGCTGCTCCGTAAGCACCTGCAGACGAGCATGGCCAGGGGGAGGTGGAGGTGACTCACTCCTGCCCCGTATATGGAAAATGACGTGGTTTGGGACTTTCACATCCACCTCTGCTGAAACCCCAGAGGGTGCACAACCAGGATTCCATGCTTCTTATGGTGGTTCCTCTTTCTCTCTCCCTCCCTCTTTCTCCCTCTTTCTCTCTCTCTCTCCCCCTTTCTGTCTTTCTTTGTTTTGAGCTTGAAGGAGGGAGGAAGTAGAGTTGGGGGCAGAGATCTCCCATCTACTTGTTCATTCCTGAAATCTCCAAATTCCCACCACAGCCAGGGGCTGGGCCAGGCTGAAGCCAGGAGCCAGGAACTCAACCCAGGTCTCCCTCAGGGGAGCCAAGTACTTGAGTTACCATCATCCTGCTGCCTCCTGTAGTGTGCACTAGCTGGAAGCTGGAATAGGGAGCAGAGCCAGAACTTGAACTCAGGAACTTCAGTACGGGATGCAGGCATCCCAAGCGGCATCTTCACAGCTGTGCCTGCTCCGGGATCAGCGGAATGTGCACTGGAGGCTTCCACTTCCATCACTTGGAGCCATCGCTCCCCAGCCTCAGCCTCTGCTTTTGAATAGGCCCTGGCCCATTGAAGCTGCCTGGCTTCCTGGGAGGGCATCTGGGAGCCACATCAATAACTCATGCTACAACCCAGCATGGTTGGGAAAAGCCAACACTTGGCCAAGGAGAAGGGACCAGGTATTCCTCAGCATGTTGTGGGGCAGCTTTTCTCCCACAAGGGCCCCAGGAGGAGACCAGAAACCCCAAAGGGCCCCTTGTACCAGAACCCTCATTTGGTTTGAAAGTCCATACCACATTCACGTTGAAATTTAATCCCAGTTGCGAAGTATGAAGACTATTGGGCAGGTGTTGTGGCATAGTGGGTCAGGCTGCAGCTTGCAAAGCTCAATCCCATATCAGAGCGTTGGTTCAAGTTCCAGCTGTTCTGCTTCTGAGCCGGTTCCCCACTAATGTACCTGAAAGCAGAGGAAGATGGCCCAAGTGCTTGGGTCCCTGCTACCCAGGTGGGAGACCTGGATGGAGTTCCAAGCTCCTGACTTTGGCCTGCCTCAGCCCTGGCTATTGCAAGCATCTGGAGAGAGAACCAGAGATGGAAGATTCTCTCTCTCTCTCTCTCTCTCTCCCCCCTCCCTCCTTCTCTCCCTCTCTCTTACTCTGCCTTTCAGATAAATAAATAAATACATAAATCTTGAAAAACAGAGATGGGATCAGGTGGAACCTTCATGTGGTGATTAGTGGACTGACAGGCTAATGGGTTACCTGGAGAATGAGTGTGTTCTAAAAGCCACTCTGGCTCCGACTCTTGCACCTGTCACCATGGGGAGCACACAATGCTGTCCTGTGCTGCTGTGGGGCTTTGCAGAGTCCCCCTTACCAGATGTGACCCCTCGACCTTGGAGCTCCCAGCCTCGACCTGTGAGCTGAATGAAACTGTGTAAGTTCCCAGTCAGTGGTGATCAGAAAGACCAACAGAAAATGGACTTGCATGTTCTCCACCACCAGGCCCTGGCCCCTGACAGATTGTGGACATAGGCCAGGAGCTGGGAACAGAGGAGTTGAGATGATGCTGGGGTAGGTCCCAGGCACCTGAGTCTGGAAGCAGGATATTCCAGCCTCTTCTACTCTCTGATAGAACCAAGACTCTCCAACTAGACAAGCATCCTGCAGGGGCTGGGTCTGTTCACAGAATCCCAGGAGCAGGCAGAGAGTTAGGCCCCTGCCTCACCAATCAGCTGATGTCCAAGGATAGAGCAGACAGCCAGGCTGGAGGCTACAGAGAGATGCTGGACAAATAAGACACCTTCCCAGGGATCTTCTCTGGGTTCCCTCATCTAGTCAGAGAAGTGGCTCTAGCCCGAGGCCAGGTCAGGTGGCGAGGGAGCGGCAAGGGCCTGTCCATGCAATCAGGTGCTGGACGGGGCCAGGGGAGCAAGGTGGCAGGGTGCTCGCAGACGCCACAGGCAGCAGAAGCCACCGCAAGCACAGGGTGCTTTTCCCCCAGCCCTGCTAATTTAGGCTGCGGCTCTGGCCCCTGACACCCCCGTCATCAGCTCCACTGGCTCTGACCCACTGGCTTTCTAGTCCCATGGCCACAGCTTATATTCATTTCCATGTAAGGTAAAAATCACACTCGCTCTTAGTCTTGGTGGTGGAAACAAATGAGAACTCCTGGAGGCAGTGGAAAGAAGCGGTAACCTCTGGAATGCAGATCCCAGTCCATGGGCTGTGTAGAGTTCAGAGTGGAACCATGATCAGCCATCAGATTTTCCGTTCATTTGTTACCCATCTGTCCATCCACCTGTCCATCCAGTAATCTGGATTGACTTCCTTTTCTCTGCCCCTCCTTCCCCTCTTCCTTACCTTCCCAGGCGTATTCATCTGGAGTCTGGCACGGAGCAGCCTTCTCACATTTGATGGATGTCTTTGAAGCCTGACAAGCTGTACAGGAGAAAGGCCAGTCCTTGCCCGAGTTCTGGGTCAACCCCTCGCTCCCAGAGGGAGGTGGGGACAGAGAGGAAGGGAGAGCAGCTTACAGGGAGCAGGGAGGAGGACCAGAGCCTTTTTTATTTTTTCATATTTGTTTATTTGTGAGGCACAGTTGGTTGTAGACAGAGACAGACAGAGAGAGGTCTTCCATCTGCTGGTTCATTCCCCATATGGCGGCAGTGGCCAGATGTGGGCAGATCCAATGCCAGGAGCTGCTTCTAGGGGTCTCCCATGTGGCTGCAGGGGCCCAAGCACTGGGGCCAAACTCCACTGCTTTCCCAGGCTCATTAGCAGGGAGCTGGTGGAAGTGGAGCAGCCAGGACATGAACTGGGGCCCATATGGGATGCACAGGCTTGACTGCTACAGTGCCAGCCCAGAACCCAAGCCTTACATTTACACTTTGAATCTCCAAGCTGCATTTTATAAAGGGCACTGTGTCAGCTGAGATGCCTTGGTAGCAAGATGTAGAACATTCTATTGTAGTGTGCTCCTACCTGGTCTCCCTGCTTCCAGCTTCCCACACCCTCATCTCTGCTCCTCATGATCAGAGTGACTTTCCCACCACGTCCCCGTCCTTGTCTCTCCTGCCTGAAGCCCTTCGAGGGCCCCGTTTCACTCACAAGCTAGCTCCTCAATGTGACCCAAAGGGACCCTCACCAGAGCCCTTTGACTTGCTGTCTGTGCCCCGTATAGGGGAATGTGCTCATCCACCTGCAGCTCTGTCCTCTGTGCCTCCCGTGAACTCTGCGTGTTAATCCAGTGTCCTCCTCGCAGCTTATAGTGTAATTTATTGCTCACATCCGTCTCTCCCATCAGACTGAGCCACTCGAGTGTGAGGATTGTCAGTTTGTCTGTCTTTCTGGCCTTGTGCCTGATACGGTGCCTGTAACCTGGTCTGGAGGACTCAGGATGCATTTGTGTGGTGGGTGGGCGGGTGATGGGGGAGATGGTCTTGTAAGAGAAGTGGGATGGCCTTGGGACAGGTCAGGAGAGTGGCCACAGAATGGGCTCCCAGAGGGGAAGACGGATGACTTCCTTCTGAAAGTCTAGCCCTTTGAGGAGGGGATCAAGTTGTGGCCCAGGCCAGACAAACTGTCTCAGCCAGGAACGGGGAACTTCAGGATGACAGGGAGTCTGCCATGGGACCACTTCCTGTTTCCTCCAGATAAAAAGTCCGTGGGCAGACAGGCACAGACAGCACCTGAGGGCCAGGGCCAGGGCCGGCACGCAGGATGCAGGCCGCAGACCGGGAGGCCCTGGACGCGCACTTCACCGTGGACAAGCAGAACATCTCCCTCTGGCCCCGAGGCAAGTGCCCGCCCCTGCTGGAGACCAACGGAGGGCTCTGGGCCCACGTCCTCTGTCCTTTCCTGCTCCTTCAACCCACGTTTGCTGCTTCTCCCAACAGAGCCTTCTCCCAAGCCGGCGCCGTCTCCACTGCTGAGGGAGCCTGTCTCGGTCCGAGCTGCCTTAATCTGCCTGTCGCTGGTCCTGGCCGCCTCCGTAGTGCTGCAGGCCGTCCTCTGTAAGTCCCTGGGTGTCACTGGCAGCTGCGTCCTTATCCAGGGCCAGCCAGCTTCCCGAGATCCAGGCCCCACCTCCCCTGCCTGGGCTATGGCCATTTGCCTGCTTCCTCGTCCTCCTCGTCCTCCTCCTCGTCCTCCTCCTCCTCCTCTTCACACGCGCAGCAGCAGCAGGTGGGACCCCTCCCCTGCCACTTCCTCACCCAGTCCCCCCACGCCAGCTCCAGTCCCTGGGCTTCAGAGCCCTGTGGGAGCCCTGGCAGTGAGTGTGGTTTCCTGGGTCCCAAGTGTGTCCTCAGCCCCAGCGGACCTGATGGAGAACCTGGCCCTGAAGGCTCACCAGGGCCGTCGTGCCCTCTGTGTTCTCCTGTCCCAGTGAAGACCCCGTAAGGAAGCGTCCTGCTCACATGTGCCAAGCTCCATGGCTCTGCGGCTGGCAGGGCCCTCCTCCCACCCCCAGGCCACCAGAGAGCAGAGCAGGGGGCTGTCTGCCTTCTCCTGTCATAGCCTTGTGACAGATAGGGTCTTCGACCACAGCCTCAGTGCACAGCCCCCCTGCCCTAGTCTCCTGCCTCATGCCGGGCCTCTGGTCTCTCCCATGGCCTGTTCCACTGGATTCTCCTTTGAGTCTTTGCATGTGGTCCTGTCCACGGCAACCGTGCCTGTGCCCCGAGCAGAGGGAAGGTAGGTGAGTGCGGCAAGGGACGTGGACATGGTTTCATGATCTCCCTTCCTGTGCTCTCTGGAGAAGAAGTCACTTCCAGGCTGGGAGTCTTGGTGGCTGGCTCTTCCTGTGGCCTTGGAGGGCCTGTGGGCAGTGTGGGAGGTATGGTGAGGCTCAGCAGAGGGCCGCTGTGGGGTCCCGGAAAGGCTGGGGATCAAGTGGTGGGGCTCAGAGGGAATAACGGGGAGGAACAAGGGGTTGATTGGGGGCAGCCCTTTACCAAATGTGTCCTGAACACTCCCAGGACATTCAGCAGGGGTGGGCATTTAGTGCAGCCAAGAAGATGCTGCTTGGGACGCCCTCACCCCATATCAGACTGCCTGGGTGCCAGTCCTGGCCTCTCTGCTTCTGAGTCCAGCTTCCTGCTGCGGTACCTGTGGGAGGCAGCAGGTGATGGTCAAGGGCAAGGGTTCTGGCTATCCATGTGGGGGACCCAGACTGAGATCCAGGCTCCTGGCTTCAGCCTGGTGGCCCTCGGTGTTGCAGGCATCTGGGGAGTCTGTCTGTGTCTCTCTGCCTTTCAAATAAAGTGAAAGTAAATAAATAAAAATTTAAAAGAAAAAGGAAATCCAGGACTGGGTTCTGTTCCCTGCTTCTGCTTGCTTGTGGGGCCTATCTCGTGTGTTAGATAAAAAGTCTCTGCACTGTCTGCCTCCGCCAGAGTTCAGGGCACGTGCAGGTGCCCGTGGCTGTACATTCATGATTTCAGGGTGGGTGGCAGCTCCTGGGGAAGCTCGAGCCTGCTCCTTCCTTTCCTTTTATCGCCCGAACGGCACCCCTACTCCTGCCCGGGTGATGCCCTCAGCCAACCTCTTGACTTTCTCAAACCCAGATCCCTGGTTTATGGGCAGAATTTCAGACGTGAAGACTGATGCCCAGTTGCTGAAAGACCGTGTGGGTAACATCAGCTCCTTGGGCTCTGAAGTGAGGAAGAATGGTGTCGGCGTGCAGGCGGCTGGTGCCCAGATTCACACGGTGAATGCCAGCCTGGACCGTGTGTACTCTCAGATCCTGACGCTGAAAACCAGCGTGGAGAGAGCCAGCGCGCAGATCCAGATCTTGACGGAAAGTTGGGAAGAAGTCCACAGTTTAAACGCCCGAATCCCAGAGTTAAAAAGTGACTTGGATAAAGCTAGCACGTTACATGCCAAGGTCCGGGGCCTGCAGAGCAGTTTGGAGAACATCAGTGAGGTGCTCAGACAGCAAAGTAAGTGACGGAAAACAGCCCTGCAAGCTGACTGGGCACCTGCGGGACCTTCTGTGCCTCAGCTATGCTGCCCCTGGGCTGGTGGTGTGAGGGAGGGGAGAGGAGGCCAGCGGGCAGGTGCTAGAAAGTTTAGAAGAGACGGGTTGGGACTGATGCTGTGGCGTAGCAGGTAAAGCCTCCACCTGCCATGCCAGCATCCCATATGGGTGCTGGCTCATGTCCTGGCTGCTCCACTTCCTGAAGATCAGCTCCCTGCTAATGGCCTGGGAAAAGTAGTGGAAGATGGCCCAAGTCCTTGGGTCTCTGCCACTCATGTGGGAGACCCAGATGAAGCTCCTGGCTTCAGGGTGGCCGGGAGTGAATTAGCAGATGGAAGATTCTCTCTCTCTCTCTCTCTCTCTGTGTGTGTGTGTGTGTGTGTGTGTGTGTATAACTCTGACTTTCAAATAAATATACATCTTAAAACAAAAAAACAAAGAGAGGGATTAGCACCAGGCTTGGGGAAGACTTAGGGCTGTTGGGAGAAGAGCCCACAAGGACCCAGTGTGGGTTCCCACAGCAAGTTGCAGAGCATGAAAACATTAGGTCTGCCCTGGCCCAGACCTCACCCTTTCCCATTCTGTTCCTGACCTGGACCCAGGGGCTGAGCCACTGCCGTGGCCAGAGGAGAACTGCTTCTCCTTCGTGGGAAAGACAGATCCATTGTCTGTCCTCTCTCACTCTGTCCTCTTCAGTGCCAGAGGCTCCATCAGTCTCAGACTTTCAGGGCCTAAGAGAGTGTCCCTGAGTCCCTACCAGGACTCCAGGGCTCCGGAGCCAGCCCAACCCACCGCTGTCTGTGGCACCCCCTCAAGTGCCACCCAGCCTGTGAGGACACAGGGAGACCAGTGCTCACTGTGGCCCTTCTCCCCAGATGACATCCTGCAGATGGTGTATCAGGGCTGGAAGTACTTCAAGGGGAACTTCTACTACTTTTCCCGCATCGCAAAGACCTGGTACAGTGCCCAGCAGTTCTGCATGTCCAGGGATTCACACTTGACCTCAGTGACGTCTGAGAGCGAGCAGGTGAGTGCTGTGCCTTCTGGGAAGGGAAGATGTTGCCAGCTGCCTCAGGGAGATTGGGCAAGATTATGCTGTGGTATCAAAAATCTCCAAACATTGATAACCTAACAATGCAAGGAAAATTTTATATATATATATAAATTTATATAAAATATATATACAATTCTTCCTTGCATTATATGTATTAAATATATATATACATTACATATATATTAAAGATTTATTTATTTATTCAAAAGGCAGAGAGGCAGAGGCAGAGAGAGAGAAGTCTTCCATCCACTGGTTTACTTCCTAAATGGCTGAAACAGCCAGAGCTAGGCCGATCTGAAGCCAGGAGTCAGGAGATTCTTCCAGGTCTTCCACACAGGTGCAGAGGCCCAAGGAATTGGGCCATCTTCTACAGCTTTCCCAGGCCACAGCAAGGAGCTGGCTCAGAAGTGGAGCAGCCGGAACTCGAGACTGCGCCCTTATGGGATGCCAGTGCTGCAGGTGACGGCTTTACCCTCTATGCCACAGCGCCGTCCCATATATATACAAATATAAATATATATAAATAATATATCATATTATATAATATATTAATAATCATTAATAAATATTAATATATTCATAGTATTCGTATTATAAATATATTTATAATATTACTAAATATATCCCACATATAAAATATATGAATAATATATATTTAATATATAAGTATTAATAATTATTAATAAATATATATTTTATTTATTTGAAAGAGTTACAAAGAGAGAGGGAAAACAGAGAGAGAGAGAAAGAGAAAGAGAAATATCTTCCATCTGCTGGTTTTCTTCCCAGATGGCTGCAGTGGGCAGACCAAAGCCATGAGTCAGGAGCTTCTTCCAGGTCTCCCTCATGGGTACAGGGGCCCAAGCATTTGGGCCATCTTCTGCTGCTCTCTCAGGTGTATTAGCACAGAGCTGGATAGTAAGTGGAGCAGCCGGGACTCAAACCAATGCCTGTATGGGATGCCAGCATTGCAGGTGGCAGGTTAACCTACTGAGCTCAAGGCCAACCCCGAGTTATTCCTCACTGTTCCCATCTGGTGGAGGCTCTGCCTCTGTGGCTTCTCAAGGACCTAGGGGGCAGGAGGCTTCATTCACATGTTCCCACGGTTGCTGGGGCAGGGAACGCATGCAAGGCAAATTGTGTACTCAACGTTGCAATGCTTCTGCTAGAACACCCGGCCCGTTGGCTTCCATTTCACTGGCCAAGCAGATCGCACACTGTTCACAGCTTCATGAGGGTTGGGAGGGGCCCTCTCCAGGCATCTGGCAAAAGAAAGGTTTGTCAGGAGCAGTGATGATGTCAGGTGACTCAGGACAGTCACACTTGAGGAGGGAGAAAGTGACCAGGCCACATTCACCTGGGAGGTGGGAGAGCAGAGCAGGTGATTCTCGATTCTAGAGCCCTGACCTGCAGTCCCACTCGTCCTAGACCCTTGGGTAATCATTAGGCCTCAGGCCATTAACTGATGACACCCGCATGGCCGGAGAAGAAAGGAGGAGAGGGGTACCAGGGACTTAGCACAGGTCCTGGCCAAGCCTATGCCGAGAGCCTGAGGGCTCAGGGAATGTAGCTGTTGGCACCTGGGCTGTCTTCTGTGGTCCCTGCTCTGGGGTTCAGCTGGGTTTTCTTATGCTCCAGCACCTGATTCCTAAGGAGCAGAAAGGCCCAAGCCCTGAGTTTGTTGATGGGACGAAGACAAACCAGAACTTGGGAGATGGACTCTGGGCTCTGGTGGAGGGCAGGGGGAGGCTAGGTCAGGTGTGCAGCACGGTGTCCCTGAGGACAGGTGAAGGAAACCTAGAGTCAGGGCTCAGTGGTGCCCCCTTACAGGAGTTTCTGTACAAGACGGCGGGCGGCCTGGTGTACTGGATTGGCCTGAGCAAAGCAGGCAGCGAGGGACACTGGTACTGGGCGGACGGCACGTCTTTTAATGAGGCCCAGAGTGTGAGGTAAGTCCCCCTGCACCCTCCCTCCTAGCCTGACTTTCCAGGTGGGGCAGGGCATGCAGGTGGTGGGGGAGGGGGCCGGGGCGGGGGTGCTTCCCTTGAGTGCAGGATTGCTGAGTCTTCCCTACTGAGTGGCTGTGGGGTGTGGGGACTAATCTGTTGCCTTCCACTCAGCGTCATCAGGGACCCTAGCCCAAGTCTGGGGCTGGAGAGCAGTGGTCCGTGTAGGCCCTGGCTAGGGCCTGGTTGGAGATCTTACCAGCACCTTCCCTCTGAGGCTTGGGTGCAGAAATCCATGCCAGCAGTCAGCCAGGAGCAGAGCTGGTGCGGAGGGCGCACGTGCCTTTCCTAGGGAGAAGCTTTGCAGCTGTAAATCTGTCCTGCTGTGCTCTTTCGCTGGGTAGGTTCTGGATTCCAGGTGAGCCCAACAACATGGGGAACGGCGAACACTGTGTCAGCATCAAGGTGTCCTTGCTTCAGTCCTGGAACGATGCCTCCTGTGACGATAAGCTGCTCTTCGTCTGTAAGCGGCCCTACACCGCGGCAGGACCCTGACGAGCCCGCCGCCGGGCTCCCTCTGCGCTCCCAAGCTGTCCAACTCTTACCAAACGCCTCTGTCTTCCCCAGACTCCAGGATGCCTTTGCACCTCTGTTGTTCTTGCTTCACGATTGTTGCAAAGGCGTCCTGGTGCCCGTCCACCCCGCCTGGGGAGCCTCTAAGCCCACAGGGGCAGTTGGAGTAGAGAGAATTTGGGTGGAGCGGGAGGGCAGGTGGAGAGAACATGCTAGTTCACACGGCCTCGGTGAGCTGAGTAGGACCTGCAGTCCGGGGCCGCGCTTGGCTCCCTCGTGCCTTCAGAGAAGCCTCAGTCTCATTGCATAAAATGAGGCCCAGGATCATTCCCCACGCTGCTACCCAGGGCTTTTCCTGGCAGGTCCCACACCTTCTTGTTTGTCTGCTTGGGAGTGCCGGTGGCTGCCGGACGGCGGTGTTTTTGACAGCTCTGGCCCTGCCGTGTTCCCATCGCCTTCTGCATCCACATCCTCCAAAGGCTGAACTCCTTCTTCCTGGGGAAGTGCTAACCTGGCTCAGGGCAGGTGCCGGGCCAGCCCTTCCACCTCTCCCCACCACTCACTGAACTCTGATGCAGGCCCCGCCTTCCACCATCCTCCTGGGCCCAGCCCCTCTCCCTCGCCAGTCTGGGCATCCTTTGTCCTCCTCTTGCCTTGTAGCTGTTGGCACCTGGCAATGGCAGGTGCACATTCAGTGCCTTCCAGAGTTCACTTCAAGCTTTCTTTAGAATAAAATGCTGCCTGGGTGAAGGCCTCTCTCCACCTCTCTGCTTTCCCATTCCTGTTGCACACACAGGTGAATGCGTGGGGGAAGACAGTCCACTGTGTTAGACATAAAGTTCTGGGGTATCCGCAGGAAACAGGGGTGAGGTTGGAAATAACAAGGAGGAGAACAGGCCTGGCCTTGGGAATGCCACAGCATGTGAATAGCACCCGTCTCCAGCTTTTATTGAACTCAAGTAGAGCAAGATTGACAGCATCACGGCCTTGGGTGATCTTCCTTCCTGGGTGATCACTGGGTGGTGCTCTGGCTTTATTGCCACGATGGAACCTTATCTCACACCCTGCTCACAGGCATTGGTTCCAAACCCCAAGTTCAGGAGCTAAGGCAGGGACCAGGGAGGGGCTGCCCCAGACAGGAGGGGAGCAGAGAGAAGCAGGAAGCAGCACATGTGAGTGCAGGGTTGGGCTCAGCCGGGCACCCCTGGGAAAGGGCACTTTCCTTCCACGTCTGTGACCAGCAGTGAGGTGTCCTGGGTGTACAGGGGCCAGAGGTGAGGGCCCGGACAGGTGTTGGAAGTCTTGAAATATTGTGTGCTTCTGTGACATCTCTGAGCGTCACAGGCCACAAAGACCTATCTCAAGTTCCCTACTCTCCCCAGATATGCCTCACTCCGCCCCAGCACCTGGCTAGCTCCCTGCCACCTGCATGTTGGAGTTACAGAGAGGGAGGGAGAGATGGTGGGAGAGATCTTCCGTCTGCTGGTTCACCCCTGAGATGGCTGCAATGGCCATGGCTGAGCCAGGCAGAATCCAGGAGCTTCTTCCAGTTCTCCCCATGTGGGTGGTAGGGGCTCAAACACTTGGGCCATCTTCTGCTGTTTTTCTCAGGCCACTTAGCAGGCAGATGGATCAGAAGTGGAGCAGCTGGGACTTGAACTGGTGTCCATACGGGATGTTGGCGTTGCAGGAGGTGGCTTAACCCACTGCACCACAGCGCCGGCCCTCTGAAAGGAGATGCTTTTTTCTTGTTCCATGGGAGTATAGCGTAAAAGGATTACCCGGACCTTTCTGAGGGAGTGACAGTAAAGTAAGCTGAGCCTTGAATGATGAGAAGACTTTAGACAGTGAGTTGGAGTGCAGGGCAGAGATGAAGAAGGGAAGAAGGAACAGAAAATGCAAAGAGCACAACACGTGGAATGAAGCAAGGGTAGGGCAGCTCGCGCGGGACTGCAAAGTCACATGAAGACTTTGGATTTTATTTAAAGCACAAAGGAAGCCGCTGAATGTGTTTTAAACGCAGGAGTGACTGCCGTGTGGGATGCCCCCAGCCTGTGTCTCTGTGCCCAGCAACAGGGACAGGAAAAAGCAGTGGGTGTGACCCAGCTGTGCAGTGGTTCTGTGCTCAAAGTAGAAAATGCCCACTTCTTCCTCTGTGGCCAGGGAACAGAGGCCACGCTGAGTTCTCTTTCCTGGGGGCAGATGTGTTCCTGGGGCTCCTGGGGGCTCGGGTCCGGGGAGGGGGCTGGGGGAAGCCAGGAGGGCTCTGCCCCTCTTCTGGCCCCGACTTCTCTGTTCCAGCTGAGCAAGGGATCCCAAAGTTCTGCTTTCGAGCCTCGTCCAGTGTCTTGGGCCCTGGGAGGAACTAGCTTCCGAGAGGTCCAATGCGGCCCTTCCTGTGTGTGGGGAAATGGAAACCAAGACAGGCTCCTCTTCTCCGCCAAACCCCTGGGTCTCTGATAAGGGCTTTGGGGAATGGGACGGCACCTCCTGCTGCCCCCATCCCAACTGGAAGAGAAGGGCTTGACCGCAGGTGCCAGTGAGATTTTAGCCAGAGCTGTTGACTGGCCCAGAAATGGCACCTTCAGACTCAGTGTGGGGAGCAACTGGGAGCAACTTGGACTAGACTAAGTTACTGGAATTAAGACTTATTCTATGCATCTGCTCTCCCACAATATGGCGCTGGGAGAGGAGGAAACAACTTCTACCCAGCTGCCTCTTACCAACTTGACAAGCTGCAGGAGCTGCTCCTGATTGGAGGAGAGCAGCGTACTCGGCGTGTGGGTAGCAGAGTTGGGATTGGTGGAAGAGGACTATAAAGGAGGAGAGAGACAACATGCACCAGGAACATCTAAGGGGAACATCTATCTGAAGGAACACCTGTGCAGCCCCCGAGAGAGCTGGCTGGCGGTGTGCTGCTCCCCCGCGGAAGTGGGGAAAGTGGCTGGGGGAACCGCCCTTCCACGGAGGTGGAAGGGTCGGTAGCCAACCCGGGAAGAACCAGCAGCAAACCCGGGGAGGGCCGAGCAGACAAAAGAACAGCACAGGGTCCTGTGTCGTTCCCCCACGAAGACGGGGAGCGACACTCAGTTTCCAGTAGATAGGAGGAAGGAGGCCAGATGATGGTTGCTTTGTGCCGTACACACTGTATGTCTCCTGTGCACCGCTCACCCCCCCCCCCCCCATGCACAGTGGCACACACGGGCATGCACATCCACACAGCATCCTGAGCTGGGTGAGGACCCACACCTCCGCCCCTCTGCAGATCAGCTACTGGGAGAGCTGATTGCTCACTGGGCTCCCCCCGGCCACGGCTGCCCTCTTGGCCTGTCTCAGAGTGGGTCGCTCTGCCACTGGAAATGGTCAGCAGCCTTTGTAGTTAGCATCCAGGAGCCCATGGGAGGCTGACTCCAGCATTTGTGAAGATGTTGGAGGAGCTGATATTGTAGCATAACGGGTGAACCTGCCTCCTGCAAGGCTGGCATCCCATATGGGAGCACCAGTTTGTGTCCCAGCTGTATCATTTCTGTTCCAGCTTCCTACTAATGCACCTGAGAAAGCAGCACAAGGTGGCCCAAGTGTCCTGACATCCATGTGGGAGACCCGGATGGAGTTCCTGGCTCCTGGCTTTGGCCTGGCTCAGCCCCAACCATCCTGGCCATTTGGGGAGTGAACCAAAAGATGGAGATCTGTTTCTCTCTCTCTCTTTCTCTCTCTTCCTCCCTCTTTCCCTCCCTCTCTGTCATTCTGCCTTTCAAATAAGTCAACAACACCAATCTTTTTAAAAAAGAGGGAAAGATGATATAAAAGATGATATAAAAGAAAGATGATATAAAAGATGATATAAAAAGAAAGAAAAAGATATCAGAATGGAATTTAAAAACTGAGAGTGAAAATGGGGACTGAAACCCAAAAGCAGTGCAGCTGGTACAAGATGTTGCAAGGCTGACTGACAGCTTGTCAGAGCTGCTGGAGTGGGTGGCTAATACATAGGCTGTGTCCACTTCAACGAGATGGGGCTGTCTGAAGTGAGGGGGGAGGGGAGCCCCGGGGCAAGAGACTGCCCGGGGTGGGGGGGTCCCCAGAACTGACTGTGGGGACCTGGGCTCTGGTGGGGGCTCTGGTGGGCTCAAGACGTCAGGCTCCTGCTCGGCGCTGCCCTGGACCCAGCCTTCCTGCTCTGCTCATGCTGGGCCCTGGAGCAGAATGCTTCCACCTGGAAGTCTCTTGGTCCTCACAGGAGAGCAACACCTGGGCCCCAGTCTTGTCCCTCAGCTTCCTCTGAGTCCTGAGAACCTGGTAAGCCGGGAGGAGGGGGTGACATCTTGGATCAGCTGGGCCCTGCCTGGTGCATTCTGACTCCACTTCTGACCCCAAATGTGGTTTCCCGGGCTACCTGCTGACTCTCCGACACCAGCGGGGCATCCAACAATCCAACTTTTTGTGTACAGTAACCCCCGAGGCAGATGGCCCTGGTGAGCAGCTCTGTCGTCTAGGTGAACACTTCAACCTGGCAGACTACAAACCTGGGGGTTCCCATGACACCCCCTCAGTGTCCAGATTAACTGGAGCAATGCAGAGAACTCAAGAAAACACTAGACCTACCATTCAGGTTTGCCACAAGGGGTACGGGCAGGTGAAGAGGCTTCAGGGCAAGCTTCAGAGGGATTTCAAAAATTCTTGCACCGAAATAAACTGATCTTTTAATTCCGTTTTACATGAGCTTTTTGAAGTTCTTTTGCTTATTTTTATTTATATGATTCATTTATTTATTTGAAAGGTAGAGTAACAGAGACAGAGAGGCATAGAGAGAGAGAGAGAGAGAGAGCGAGTGAGCACAATCTTCCATTTGCTGGTCTACTCCCCAAATGCCCACAACAGCCAGGACTGGTCCAGGCTGAAGCCAGGAGCCAGGATCTTTATCCTGGTCTCCCATGTGGGTGCTAGAGGCCCAAGTACATGGGCCATCTTCTGCTTTCCCAGGTGCATTGGCAGGGAGCTGGATCAGAAGCAGAGTTTGAGCCTAGGCTCAAACTGCTGCTCCAATATGGGATGCCTGCATTGCAGGTGGTAGCTCACCCACTGTGCCACAATGCCAGCCCCTATTTTTCTAACACTACCTCAGTCCCTTTCCTGTAATCCACTTGAGAGGATCTGAGTGGCCAGTGAGTCACCATACCCTCTTCTCTGACTTGCAAACACCTGCTACACTGCCCCCCTCCTTTTTGAAAATATTTATTTATTTGGAAGGCAGAGTGAGAGAGAGAGAGAGAGAGAGAGAATCTTTCTGCTGGTTCACGCCCCAGATGACTGCAATGACTAATGCAGGGCTGGACAAGGCTGAAGACAGGAACCAGGAGCTTCTTCCAGGTCTCCCACATGGGTAACAGGGGCCCAGACACTTCGGTCATCTTTTGCTGCTTTTCCCAGGTCATTAGCAGGAAGCTGGATTAGAAGTGGAACAGCTGGGACCCAAACCGGTGCCCAGATGGGATGCTGATGTCAGAGGTGGTGGCTTTATCTGCTATGCCACAGTGCCAGCCCCATCCCTTTTTAAATTTTTTATTTGAGAGGCAGAATTACAGAGAGAAGAGAGAGGGAGAGAGAGAGCATGTGTCAGGATTGGGCCAGGCTGAAGCCAAGAGCCAGGAGCTTCATCCAGATCTCCCGTTGTGGGTGCAGGGACCCAAGCACTTGGGGCATCCTCCACTGCTTTCCCAGGTGCATTAGCAGGGATCCGTATTAGAAGTGGAGCGGATAATTGCATTGCACGTGGTAGTTTAACCTGCTACACCACAGCGGTGGCCCTAACTGTCCTTTTTACTTCAGAGAGATGGGGGTAGGATTAAGGGTCAGCCACACTCACATATTTGCTTTCTTTGCAAAGCAGAGGCCCACATGTGCCACGGTGGCCAGTCCCAGCACCCAGAGAGCAGGTGAGTGACCCTGGAGCACAGGCTGGTGGGAGCTCTGCTGGTCACGTCTAAGGTTGGGATGATGGCAGATAGGGAGGAGCTCATCGGAAGAGGAAGTGGAAGAGGATGGGGCTCTGGACAGATGTGAGCCTTGGAGCCCTGAGGGGAGGAGCCATACTGGGGTGTTTCTGCAGAATCAGCAGGGGGTGGGCAGAGCCTGGAGGGTGGGCAGGACCCCATCAGAAGCATATAAGGCCGGTGTCTCAGCTGTGTGCCCCCTGCTACTGGCCTGCAGGACAGCCCTTCTGGAGCCGGCGGCTGGGAGCAGCATTGGAGGATGAAGGACATGAAGATGAGCAGTGACACAGTCCGCTTCTGCACAGATGACCAGGGTGTCTTCCTGAACCCCCAAGGTGAGGACGCTGGGCCTGGCCCACCCCCAGTCAGGGTCCACCAGCCTGCTTGTCCCCCAGCCCCCTGCCCTTTCTCAGAGCCCAGCAGGCTGGAGCTGGCCTCCTCACTGCCTCAGCCTGTGGAGCGAAGAGGTAAGGGCAGGAAGGGAGCCAGGCAGAGGAGGGGGGCCCAAGTGCAGCTCAGAGCCAGAGACGCCACCATGAGGGCTCCCCAGACCCTCTCCCTCTGGGACAGCCACCCGATAAGGGAAAGCAGGTGGACTCTGAATTCAGATGGACCTGGTTTTGGTTTATTTAATTTATTTGAAAGGCAGAGTTACAAAATAGGGAGAGACAAAGAAAGAGATCTTCCATCCTCTGGTTCACTCCCCAAATGGCTGCAAGGGCCTAAGCTAGGAGCCTGGAACTCCATTTGCACTCCCATGTGGGTGCAGGGGCCTAAGCACTTGAGCCATCTTCTGCCATTTTCCCAGGCCATTAGCAGGGAGCTGGATGGGAAGCAGAGCAGTTGGGTCTTAAATTGGTGCTCTGGTATGGAATGCCAGCTTTGCAAGTAGTGGCTTAATCTGCTGTCCTACGGAGCTGGCCCCAGGTGGACCTGGTTTTGAACCCCAGCTCTGCACCCTGGTGAGGCCCTAGGAGCTCTGAGCTGATCACTCCTTGAGTGGGTTTCTCTGAAGACCCTTTGTTTCTATCCACAGTTCCCAGCATGTTCAGGCACAGTCCTTGTCAGGTCATTCTGGATGGAGGCTCTAGGACTGACCTGTGCCAGCCTCGGGGAGGGGAGGTAGCAGTGCCACCCAAAGGGCTGTGACTTTTGCTCTGGTCAGGATTCGTGAGCAAGACTGGCCTTGAGTCTCCAGGGTCAGGGCTCCTGCTCTGCCCTCTCCTCTTTCTCTCTCCCACCTTCCTCTCATTTTTCTCCTCTCACTCAAGCCACATCTTTGTTGCCTTTCCCTCTGAGCCACATTCTGTGTCCCGTGCGCCTCTGAAACCTCCTGTAGATGCAGAGGGCCACGACAGCCCTGGGGAACGGTCAACATGGCTCCTTCTGTCTTCTCTATGAGCACCTGATGACAGGTGCAGCAGGAGACTGAGTCAGAGCCAGCCCACCCAGCACCCTCTCATCCTGGGCCCTGGCTTCTCCCTGCAGGGGCGGACTCCATGGCAGTGGCTCCTGCAGCCCTCAGGATTCCAAGGCACCTTCAGGCCACCTTGGCATTCGTGGCTGTGGCCGTGGTCTCTTCTCTCGTGGCCCTCTTTGTGGTGGGTAAGTCCCCAGATGACCCAAGCCCCACCGACTCCCCTTGCACAGAGGCCCAAAGGGCCCCAGTGTACTTTCTTCAGGTCTCTCTGCTCCTGAAGGGTCTGTCTCCCCGTTCCCAGGCCCACACCACACAGAGAAGCCATGGAGCTCAGGGGAGTTCCCCAAGACCTGGGACTCATGAGGGATACTCTGAGAGGGTCCTCAGTGCCCACTCCCTCCTCCTGGAACCCCAGGTGGGCCTGGGGCAGCCTGTTCTCCCAGGCTTGGGGTTGGAGTTGCGCTGACCCAGGAATGGGGTGTCTCAGCCCTGTACTCTGAGGACCTGTGCCGGAGGCCCCAGGCTTCAAGCCACACTTCTGTGAGACAGCTACTGGGCAGTTACCTGTGGGGCCCCACAGTGAGCAGCCACGGGGTGGTGGAGGAGGTGGGAGGGAGCGAAGGTATTCAGATGCCCAGACCCTGGGACTAGCTTCTCCCCAACCCTCCTAGGCTCCTAAATGGGTTCCACTGTCCTCACAGTAAGAAATATTTTGTTCAAAAATGATAACTGAATTGAAGTATAATGGGCACATAATTTAGTACACACATTTAAAGCATACAGTCTGGTCAGTTTTGAAGTATGTATATGCAGTGACTGTCACTACCATCAAGATAACAAACAGATTTGTTAGCCTGTACCCCCAAATGCTTAAATGTAATGCTACCTCTCCCCTGTTCCCCTCCACCCATGTACCCACGGCTCTGCTGCCATAACTGCAGATCAGTCTGCTTTTTCTAGTGTTCTATACAAAAGGGATCATGTACTACGTACCTTGTTTGCCTTTGCTGGTCATATGATTTGCACTTTCTTAGTCTCTGACTTCTTTTTTTAAAAGATTTATTTATTTATTTGAAAGCAGAGATACCTAGACAAGAGGCAGAGAGAGAGAGAGAGAGAGAGAGAGAGGTCTTCCATCTGCTGGTTCACTCCTCAGAGGGCTGTAACGGCCAGAGCTGCGCCAATCCGAAGCCAGGAGCCAGGAGCTTCTTCCCAGTCTCCCACATGGGTGCAGGGGCCCAAGGACTTGGGCCATCTTCTACTGCTTTCCCAGGTCATAGCAGAGAGCTGGGTCAGATGTGGAGCATCTGGGACTTGAACCGGTGCCCATGTGGGATACTGGCAATGCAGGCAGAGGCTTTACCTGCTACACCACAGTGCTGGCCCCAATCCCTGACTTTTTACACTTGATCTTAGCCAAAAGACTGAGAAATGATTGACTTTTTATTCTCTTCACCAGATCTCAGTTTTTATAATCTAATTTACCAAAATCTTTTCTCTCATAGATTGTGCTTTTGGTCTGGTATCTGAGAAGTCTTCACTTAATCCAAGTCCACAATGACATTCTGCTATGTTTTCATAGCAGAATGTCATATTTTACAGATTCTGGTTTTACCTTTAGGTCTGTGCTTCATTTGGAGCCCCCCCCCCTTTTAGAGATTGCCCCCTTTTTCATGAACTGCTTTTGTACCTCTGTTAAAAGTCATTGTGTGAGTCCACTTCCAGATTCTGCATTCTGTTGTCTTGATTCATTCACTATCTTGATAAAGCAAGATCTTTGGCTGGCCTTCGCACACTGTCAAGGGCCACTTGGCATTTGGCCTAGCCCACTAAGATGCCTGCACCCACACTGGGATGCTCGGGTTCAAGGCCTGGTGTGGGGCGAGGAGCAGTGTGTTCGTGCTGGTGAGTCCTCCTCCCTGCTCTGAGGGGAGGCTGGGCTCAGCAGGGGACCAGGTCACAGTTCATGAGGCTGCTCGCAGGTGGGGCCGGAGGACAGGCCTTTTGGCAGCGTGGTGCTGCAGTCTCCCTATCTGGCCACCGTGACCAAGGCCTTTCCTTCAGGTCCCCCACATCCTCAAACTGCTCTGCAGGGATGCTGGGGTGCTGCTGGCCCTTTATAAGACCATTCCAGCTGCGGTCCAGTGTCACCTGCAGGGTGTGGCTTCCTCTACCCCAGCCCTGGGGATCACAGTGCTTCCACCCAGGGCACAGATTTTGCTTTATTTCCTTTTTTCTTTGTGTTTTTTTCACCCCTGAAGTTTGTGATGGGAAAATTCAGGTTTGTGGTCTGCACAGCTTTTAGAGGGTGACAGTGGTGACCCACAAGGTTTCATGCTTGTACAAATGTTCCCTAGGACTCAGTGTGTGCCTCATTGCTACCTGTTTGCTTCCTCATCATGATCCATGGATATTGAGACCTCAGTGGAATTAAGCTGCAACAGCTCCAAATGATAGAATCAGTTGCTTTTGGGTTGAGCAATTACCCAATCCCTACCAACATCCCCGTCAGGGGCAGCTGGTCTGCGGGAGGCCAGCATCTCAATCCTTCGACCCCTTTGTCCTTGTGTGATAGCTGTGCTTCGGCCACCACCTCAGCTGGCCTGTCCCTAGGTCTTCTGCCTGAGGGATTCTCAGAGCTGCACCTGCACGGTTCCCTGGAACGCTCTGGTTAGCACATTCACTGCTTCCCTGATTAATGGTCTCTTTGGCTGCCTTCTCCACTTCTTCCCTCCAGATCACTGCATCTTTGGAGAGATAGACGAAGTAAAAGAGGCTTTTCAGATGTTTAAAAGCCACATGGAGAATTGCAGCACCTCGCAAAGGGAGATCCAGATGCTGATGTGCCGAGTGAATGACGTCAGATCTCAGCTGCGGGTGCTCTGCGGCGACTACCCAGGAAACACCAGCACTGATGTGCAGACGAAGAAAGGCTCCCTGTGGGCCACCAGCGTGGACAACACCAGTGCTGAGATCCAGGTCCTGCGAGGCCACTGGGAAGGGGCTGCCAGTGACATCCACTTGTTGAAAGGAGAATTGGAAACTGTCACTGCCCAGACCCGGCTAGCAATTGGCCATCTAGGTCAGATAGATGGTCAGCTCCAAGTGCTAAAGGCACAACTGGAAGATGTCAACGGCTTAAATTCCCAGATTCAGGTGTTAGGTGGTCAACTGAACAATGCCAGCAGAGAGATAGAGACTTTAAGACAAGGGATGCAGGCTGCTGAGGCCCTGGGCTCCAAGACCCAAGCATTAGAGAGTGGCCTGAAGCAGGCCAGTGCCGAGATCCAGAGGTTAAGAGGGGACTTAGAGAGCACCAGAGCTCTCACTGGGGGCCTCGCGGAGCAGCAGAGTCGCCTGGAGACCCTCAGTGCCGCAGTTGCTTCCCAGGAACGGCTACAGAAGAACCAAAGTGAGTGTGTGTGCATGTGTGCATGCGTGTGCGCGCGCATGCGTGGGGTTGGTTTGGGACGGCTGGCTGAGGAGTGACAGCCTCACGGGAGGATGGAGTTTCCTGTCCCTTTAGTCTCTCTGCTCATGCAACATGCATGTCCCTGGGGAGGAGCGTGGGTGCAGGAGAGGGGACCACATCCAACAAAAATAGGCTCCAGGGCCCCAGGCAGCATTGAACACGGCAGAGGGCAGCATTCGTCCTGGCCAGGGCGACAGAATGAGCGCTTGGGAAAGCATCTGTACGTGGTGAAGGTGCATGATAACGATGGTGTGGGCTGGGGGCCACACAGCCCTGGTTCTGACTTCCCGCTGTCACAAAGGCTGTGTTTGTGAGTTGCTCACCATCTCTGAGCTTCACTTTTTTTGTTTTTAAGATTTATTTATTTATTTGAAAGGCAGAGTTACAGAGAGGAAGAGGCAGAGAGAGAGAGAGATATCTTCCATCTGCTTGTTCACTCCCCTGATGGTCGCAATGGCCGGACTGTGCCAATTCGAAGCCAGGAGCTTCTTCCAGGTCTCCCATGAGGGTGCAGGGACCTGAGGACCTGGGCCATCTTCCACTGCTTTCCCAGGCCATAGCAGAGAGCTGGATCAGAAGTGGAGCAGCCAGGACTCAAACCGGTGCCCATAAGGGATGCCGGCACTGCAGGCGGTGGCTTTGCCCACTACGCCACAGTGCCAGCCTCTGAGCTTCACTTTTCTCCTGCGCAAAGTGGGGATAGTAATATCTGCTTCACCGTGAGGAGCAAATGAGCTAACTCATGGGACGCATTCAGCGACATCCAGCGTTCATGGGCTCACTTGATGTTTCCTGAGAGGCTGCGTGCGATGTGTCAGGTGTAAAAGTGAGTGAGCCGTGCCATCCACCCCAGGGGCAGCTTTCAGGCTAGTGGGGCATAATGGCAGCAAAGCCACACAGATGCTGTAAGGGGCTAGGGACTGGGACAGGGAGCACGGAAAGACAGGAGAAGGAATCTGCAGGGGTGGGGAGAGATCTGTGGGGCAAGGATCCAAAGATGCTTGGCTGAGGGGATGAGCCCTGCGGGAAAGGTAGACATTCTCCACCAGACAGGGTTAGAGAGCAATACGTTTGCAGGCAGGGAGACACAAAAGCCTGAGGTTCTGGAAACTTCTGGCAGTGAACGTGGGCAAGAGGATTACTGGGTGATGTGCAGACTGGAAGCACAGCAGACAGGGGGCAGAGCAGTGGCTCTTGCCACTGTTTCCAACATACATATGGCACGGAATTCATGCAAAACAAAGCTTTCACACCTGCTAATGGGTTGGTGGGTGTACTGGGCCGGCAGGCCAGCCCGGGGAGACACAGGCTGGAGGTGGACAGTGGCTGGGCTTGGGCCTCATCCTCCAGGAGATGAGGAACTACCCATAGGCATCAGGGAGGAGGGCGACCGAGTGGAATGAGAGGAAGAGAGTGGCGCGATTCGGGCGTGTCTGAGATGCTCTGGGGAGACCCAAGGATGTGCGGCACTCAGGATAGAGGACAGAAAGGCGGGAAAACATTTGTGCTTCCATGGGAATTTCTGTCTTTTCCATGGGAACCCACTGCTAACTAGGCCCGCTCTGGGGATGTGAGAAAGGAGCCAGGCGGGAGGGGGCTAAGGATGGGGGTGGGAGGAGAGCGAGAGGAATGAAACACAGCTGAGTGTTCAAAACAAGTAGAGAGCGCTGGGGCAGTGCTGCCCCTCAGAGGCTGCTGGGGAGTGCTGTGCCGGTCCATGCTCTCAGGTTTGCAGATGGAACAGGAGCAAGGAGTTCCTGTTCAGTGCTGGGTGTTTCTGGTGGGGCAGGAGGCTACTTGATAAGAGTGAGGGAGGATGTGGAGCTGGGAAAGAAGAGGGCAGTTGGAGCAATTGCCAAAGGGATCGACTTGGTGGGCAGCACCTGGGACCCACCCGGCCTCTTTGCTGTGACCCTAGGCTGGTGATAGCGGCCTGGAGCCTCCCTTCCTTCCTCCTCTCCCGCGCCCCTGCCCTCCTCCTCCCTTGCTCCTGGGCCTTGCTGCTGCTTTGGTAGAGACCAGTGCTTCTCCAGCATGGGGACATGCTTTATTTATTTTATTTGAAAGGCAGAGCAACAGAAAGAGACGGAAAGACAGAGAAAGTGATCTTCCATATTTCCGTAATAGCCAGGGTTGGGCCAGGTGGAAGCCAGGAGCCTGGAGCTAGAACTCCATCTAGGTCTCCCACATGGGTGTCAGGGGCCCAGGCACTTGGGCCATCTTCTGTTGCTTTCCCAGGAGCATTAGTAGGGAGCTGGATAGGAAGCCACACAGCTGATGCTTAAATATGCGCTCAGGTGTAGGATGCTGGTGTTGCAGTCAGTGGCTTAATCCACTGCGCCACACCAGCCCCTCCAAGGGGCTGTAGAATACTGATACCTGGGACTCTCCTCTAGAACTCTGGTTTGGTTTTTGGTGGTTGGGGTGGGATACAGCTTGGGCATGAAGATTTTTAAAAAAATATTTATTTTTTTATTTGAAAGTCAGAGTTAGAAGGAGAGAGAGAGGTCTTCCATCTGCTGGTTCACTCCCCAATTGGCTGCAACAGCTGGAGCTGCGCCAATCTGAAGCCAGGAGCCAGCAGCTTTTTATGGATCTCCCATGTGGGTACAGGGACCCAAGGACTTGGGCCATCTTCTACTGCTTTCCCAGGCCATAGCAGAGAGCTGGATCGAAGTGGAGCAGCTGAGACTAGAACTGGCGTCCATATGGGATGCCGGCATTGGAGGCAGTGGCTTTACCTGCTATGCCACAGCGCTGGCCCCATGAAGATATTTTTAAAAGGCTCCTTAGGTGGTCCTAAAGGCATCAGGGCTAAGAACCATCTGTCTAGCTTTTTCTTAAGGAGCCAAATTGTAGTAGCTATTTTAGGCTTTTGGCTGGATGGTCTCTGCTGTTGTAGAAATACAACAGCCAAAAACAACATGCAAGTAAATAATAAATTTTTTATAAAAAGAAGCTGCTGGTGGGCTATATTTGCCAACCCTCAGTTTAGACTCCTGATTCTCAGACTTTGGAGTACATAGAATCACCTGAAGAGCTTGCCAACCTGCAGATTGCTAAAACAATTTCACATTCAGCAGGGCCGGCGCGAGCCTAAGAGTTTGTGTTTCTATCACTTTCCCAGGTGCTGCTGATGCTGCCGGTCTGGGCCCAGGCTCTGAGAACCCCTGGTGTATACACTGCCCCTCTCTTCCTGAGCCTTTGCTACTGGGTTATACTTGTGTTCAGCAGGTTGAAACTTTCACAGTCCAATCTGTGCATGTCACAGTTCTTTAGACCTTTTCTCGCTCATAGGGAAAAACCCACACTTCACATGGGAAGTGTGTTAATGCTGGTGAACCTCCCCAGGGCCTCTCCCGCCTCTGATGCTTTGAGCATCCCAAGTCGCTGTGTTGTAACATTGCTCGCCTCTGTGCTTTGCTGCCTATGCTTTCCCCTGCCTGGGATGCTGGCCTCTTGGCAACCTCCACCTGCAGCTCTTTCTCATTCTTTTTTTTTTTTTTTTTTTTTTTTTTTTAGGATTTATTTTATTTATTTGAAAGAGTTACAGAGAGAGGTAGAAACAGAGAGAGAGAGAGAGAGAGATCTTCCATCTGCTGGTACACTCCCCAGATGGCTGCAATGGCCTTAGCTCCACTGATCCAAATCCAGGAACCAGGAGCCAGGAGCTTCCTCCAGGTCTCCCACGTGGGTGCAGGGGCCTAAGGACTTGGGCTATCCTCTGCTATTCCAGGCCATAGTAGAGAGCTGGATTGGAAGAGGAGCAGCTGGGACTAGAACTGGCACCCATTTGGGATGCCGGCACTTCAGGCCAGGGCTTTAACCTGCTGCACCACAGCGCCAGCCCCCTTCCTCATTCTTAAGATTCGGTTCAAGCGACATCTCTCGCAGAGCGTCCTTCCTAAGCCACTTTTCCTGTCCAGGGGAAGCAGACCATTGGATCATCTTTTGTGCCTCTGTTCAAATGTGCACCAAGATTTTATTCACAGCATCTTCAACACATTTTCTCTCCTGTCTCATTTACAAGATCCTATGTTCCCCGAGGGCGTACGTCATGTCTTAGTGTTCTTAATGTAACAGTCCCTGGGCCATAGAAGTTAAGGATTTTGCACCCTGGATCTTGAGCAGAAGAACAAATTAATAAGTAAGGAGCACCTGTGTCTCTAATGCAAACAGCTGTGGACAGAGAAAGTTGGGCGAACAGAGAGAATCGGGGTGTGTGCTCACAGGACGAGCTGTTAGAATTTGGTCAGGCAATACCTGCAGTTACTCGCTTTAGTTCTTCTAGAAGGGTCTGACTGTGTGACCCACAGTTTATAGCTCATGATGGAAAGAATGAAAACAACTCGAGTTCATAGCAGCCAGCCTGCTGCCATTTAGGTCTCCCTTGTTAAAACTGAGCCCAAGACTCCCATCAGCTGGTCTCACAATAGAACTGCACAGGAGCCATACATTTAAAGTCTGTAAATATGAACACCAATGCCATTTAACCTAATTTAAAAACAGAGAGGAGGGACTGGTGCTGTGGCATAGCTGGTAAAGCCATGGCCTGCAATGCTGGTATCCTATATGGGCACCGGTTCAAGTTCTGGCTGCTCCACTTCCGATCCAGTTCTCTGCTGATGTGCCTGGGAAAAGCAGCAGAAGATGGCCCGGGTGCCTTGGCCCCTGCTACCCATGTGGGAGACTTGGAAGAAGCTCTTGGCTCCAGCCTGGCCCAGCCCTGGCTGTTGCAACCATCTGGGAATAAACCAGCAGATGGAAGATCTATTTCTTTCTTTCTCTAACTCTAACTTTCAAATAAATAAATAAACCTTAAAAAGAAACAAAACACAGAAGAATTGAACCTTCTATACCGAGGGCTGCAGGCAGCACTTAGAATATTGGCAGCAATCTGAATGGGCCCACATGTAATCTGCTATGAAGAACCATCTGTATAGTGTGTTTCATTTTCTAATGTGTGAAAATAAAAGGAGAAAATGGAATTTGGTCAGGCCGAGCAGTGATGACAAGGTCCTGGAGTGGCCATGGGTGCAGGCAGCTGATGTGGGTGGAGGTGGAGTCGGGAACTGCGTGAGGCCAGTGGGTGGCTGCACTGTCTCCAGGGAGGAAGGCAGGAATAGGAGTGGAGAGCACTGGCAGGCCAGAACCATGAGCTGGGAGACAGGGCAGATGGGCAGAGAGCCAGGAAGTCTAGGAAGGAGTCTGGCAGCAGGGCTGAGTTTCCCAGGAGAGACCAAGTCAGTGTTGTCGGGCTGCTTCCTGGAGTACCAGGCAGTGGGATGGAGTGCGGCCTCCCAGGCCCTGCTGCTGGAGCTCTGGGCACCAAGAATGATCTGGGCTTGTGAATCTCAGTGGTCAGCCTCAGAGAAGGTGGGAAAGTCAGCTCCTGCTTCTCTCCTCCTCCATCTTCGCTGCAGCTCAACTTCTCCAGCTGTTCCTGCAAGGCTGGAAGTTGGACAGGGGCAACTTGTACTACTTCTCTCACGTCAAGAAGTCCTGGCACGAGGCTGAGCAGTTCTGTGCATCCCACGGAGCCCACCTGGCATCGGTGACCTCTGAGGAGGAGCAGGTCAGAGCTGCACGCGGCCTGGGTCTGGTAGACTTGGCATGTGATGTGGGACTTGGGTGCTTGGGCCTGCCTGCTCAGTGGGGGTGGCGAAAACCTCCATGTCTCCTCTGTCAGTGAGCAAATACTGATTGAGTTCGGGCGAGCACCTTACACTGGAGGCAGAAGCACCAAAGCACCCACTTCCTCAGTGAGCAAGGGAGACTCCCGGAGACCCGTGGATGTCGGGGGTGGGGTGCGGTGGGGGAATCAGGCCCCAGGTGCCTGCCCTTAAAGTGATTTCCCACGCCCCTGCTTTCTCTCTCAGGCTGCGTTTCCAATCAGCTTGATTCAAGGTCATTTACCCCAGTGGCCATAGAGGGTCCGGGAGCAGGAGTACCAGCTTCTCTGAAGGGCCAGATACACCCATCTGAGCCTGGGGACCACCAAAGGCAGTGCTGCCCAGATGGCCCGTCTGCCGAGGTCCCCATCAGAACTTGCCAGAGTTGTGAAAGCACCACAATGGGTTGGGTCAATTCAGCCTGCACAACCGCCCACCCCTGGGCTCTGCTTTGTGCTGTAGGCCTGACAAAGCCCAGGCCGCCTCAGAAAACACATTCTCCTTCTGAGCGATGGCCTGGTCATTGTCCTTCATCAAGGGCTGGGCTATCTTGGAGTAGTCAGCCTGGGAGAAGCTGGGCTTTCCTGGTGGGGCTGGGCTGCTGCCCTGGGCCCTGGGCAAGGCATGGAAGGTACAGAGAGGGGGCCAGCTCTGCAGAGAAGCAGCCTTCAGGCCCCTGGGACCACAGAGACAGCCCGGAGAACCAGCTCCTCCCGCCCAGGGTCAAAGCAGAACAAAGCCTCTCTCTGCAGGCATTCCTGAGGCAGTTCACAAGCAGCCTTTACCACTGGATCGGCCTCACCGACAGCGGCATGGAGGGCTCCTGGCGCTGGACAGATGGGACACCGTTCAGCAGTTCCCGGAGCACAACGTGAGTCCAGTGCTGGCCTTGTCCCACGCACTGTCTGCGGCAGGCTTGGCTAGCGACCTTGTGTGCCTCCGTCCTTCATGTATATCCCTGCTCAGTGGGCATTACTGTCATGGGTGTGGTGTGTGTAGACACACAGACACAGCTGTGGTCCTCACGTGGACCCCTCCACAGAGGGGCTGGCAGGCAGCCTGTGAAGGGGTCTTCCCATTGTTGTGTTTCCTGTTTTCCTTATCCTATAGCCTGCTCAGGCCTGGTCCCAAGGGATCCCTTCTCCCTTGGAAGGTATTGTGGCTTCATAGAACCCTGCCCCTGCCCCCATCCCTGGATCCTCAGTAACTGAGGCAGCCCCAGCAGAGCCACCTTCTGGGCCCCCCTGGCTCCGACCCTGTCCCTAATCCTGGGGCCACCAGAGCATGAAGGACCCATGTCAGTGCAGCTCGTGTCCCACCTAGCGGGGGGAGAGACACTGCCTTTGTCTAATGGAATGAAGGCCTGTTGTTCCCAGGTTTTGGGACAAGAACCAGCCAGACAACTGGCGACACAGCAATGGGCAGGCTGAAGACTGTGTCCAAATGCTGCAGAAGTGGAATGACATGGACTGTGGTGCCTCCTTTCACTGGGTCTGCAAGAAGCCCAAGGGCGGGCAGAGCTGAGGGGCCACTCTCAGTCGCCAGCGTGGGAGCCTCCTCCTCTGTGACCTCTCCTGAGCTTCTGAACTCAGCCTGCCCTCTGGGGCCTTCCATTGGCCTTCTGCACTTCCTGCCTCTGCCTCCTGGGACCCCGTGGGATCGATGAACAGCTTTCCTGGGCCTCTATATCCCCTCAGTCCAGCACAGGCCTGCAGTCAGTGGGTCCTCAATAAAGACTCTCTGTGCCAACGGAAGCTCTGTGCTGCTTGTCCCTGGGCCGGCCACCACGCTCCCTCCTCCATGGATTGCTGCTCCTTCCCTCAATGTCCTCTCTCTCCGTTTTAAGATTTATTTAAAGGGAGAGAGAGAAAGAGAGAGGAGAGAGAAAGAGAGAGAGAGAGTTAGTTTTTTTTTTTTTTAAAGATTATTTATTTGAAAGACAGTTATAGACAGAGATGGGGAGAGGTCTCTGCTGGTTCACTCCCCATAATGATGCAACAGCCAGATGGATGCCAGGAGCCTGGAACTCCATCCAGGTCCCTCATGTGAGTGACAGGGGCACAGGCATTTGAGCCATTTTCCACTGCTATCCCAGGTGCTTTAGCAGGGAGCTGGATCAGAAGTGGAGCAGCTGGGACATAAACCAGTACTCCAATTAGGGCATTGCAAGCTGTGGCTTAACCTGCTATGCCATGAAACAGATCACTCAATGTCCCTTCTGTCCTGAAACGCCTTTATTTAAGGGCTTTTGAGCTAGTTTGTTGCAAATGGTGAGGTTTAACAAACTGTAGGGATGTCCTAAGAGGTACAAATCCCAGGAAGTCCTAGCCAGTCTGGTTGTTCCTTAGGAATTTTTCCAGCCTTTAAACCTCTCCAAATCTCTCCTGAGGGCTGGCCTCGCCTGGTCTTCAGACTGTTGACTCTCAGAGCCATGTATCTGGCTTCAGCCTGTTCCTGTGACCTCCACTCATCCGTCTGGGGACTCAGTTTCCTGCCTGCTCAGCTTAGAGTCTCCTGAGCAGTTCTTTGCCAGGTTTGTAGATGCCATCCCATGCACATTCCCAGAATCCTGCATGGCTCCCTCCTCTTACCCTGTGCTTCCCATGCCCCCATTCTAGTGCTCTCAGTCACTCCAAACTCTTATTTTTTTCCTTAGCTAGCAAGACTGTGAAGCTCCATTTAGGACCCTCCTCCCCGTGCTATAGTCTGGAAAGAGCCTCCTTATCTGGTCTGCTATCTCAGAGCGCAGCTACCTTGATCACAACTTTGCCTGTTGCCCAACAACTGCTTCCCGTGCTGCCCAGTCTCCTAGCTGCTTATGGTAAAGGGCTGGCTCAGTTACTCCATCGTGACCAGAAGTAGAAGTCTGTTCTCACCTATACGATACCTTTGGCTGAACAGGACTTTCACTCATTTGAATTCCTGTTTATCAGCCTTTTCCTTTATGGATTCTTAGCTTTGTGTCAATGTTAGAAATTCCTCCTCTGATCCACCAAAATTTGCTGTGTTTCTTCTACAACTTTAGTAAATTCATGTTTTACACTGACATTATTAATCCACCTAGAATTTATTTTTGAGAATATTGTGATAGGCATCTATTTTTATTTAAAAAATTACTAAATCATAACCTGTTCCTTTTCACTCATTTGAAAAGCAACTTCCTCCAATATGAAACTCATGGGCTCTTTCTAGACTCTTGATTGGATTCCAGTAAACTCTTTTTTCCTTAATTGGGACCACATTAACTGTAGTTTAAATTTTTTTTTCAAATAAACTTATTTTTATGTATTGGAAAGGCAGAGAGACACAAGATCTCCCATCCCTTGGTTCACTTCCCAAATGCCTGCAACAGCCCAGGGCTGGGCCAGGCCAAAGCCAGGAGCCTCAAACTCAATCTGGGTCTCCCCTGAAAGTGGCAGAGACCCGAGTACTTGAGCCACTGCCTGCTGCTCCCCAGGGTGTGCATTGGCAGGAAGCAGGAACTGGAAGTGGAGCCAGGGCTCAAACCCAGGCACTCCAACATGGGATGTGGGAACCCAAGTGGCATCTTAACGGCTGCACCCAAGAGCTGCCCTGTGGTCACATTATAATGTTTTCTTACCTGGTAGGGCAAGTGCTCCTTTAACTTTTCAGAAATGTTGAAGTGTGTTTGTAGAACAGGCTCTGATGATTGGTGAATTTCACTGAAGGGTGTGAGTTGGTGACTCACCCAATTTTTCATCAGTGCATCCCTGAACTTTTAATCCCAGTTGATCCAGTGGCCATGGAGGGCCCTCCGAAAGGCATTCCCCAGCCTTTTGCCCAGGAAAAAGGAGCCGAGCAGGCAGCTTTCCGCAGTGTGCAGGGTAGGAGCAGAGGAAGGAGGGCTGGCATCTCACTGCTGGGTGGGGATGGCCCCTGTGTGCCCGTGCTGGGCACAGCCTCCTAGTGTAGGCAGCGGCAGGGGTGCGGCTTGGTGCTGCAGGCAGAGGGAGGAGCGGTGAGCTCCATGTGGGCCTCCTAGCAGTTCCAGCCATTTCTGGATTCAGCCTTCCCTGCGCTCTGCTTGAGGAGCGAGGCAGAGTTCTAAGCTGCGGGTCTGCCAGGCTTCTCCGTCACAGAAAGCTCTGCCTTGTGTTCAGTACTCCAGCTACTGCCTGTTAAAGATCCATTTTCTCAGTTCTGTTATATCAGTTATCACTCGGCTTCCACAGCCAGCTTCCAAATTTCGCTGAGGTTTCTTGTCTGTGGTTGATTCACACCCGACCTTTGCCTTGTGGATTTATTTCTGTTCCATGACTTACAGTAGGCTTGAGGAGGAAATGGAAATGTGCATCAAATCTCTCTCTGTCTCTCCTTCCTTCTCTCTGTCATTCTACCTTTCAAATAAACAAATCTTTAAAAAAATCCTGTATTCAGGGATAGACCCTGAGATAGGCATTTGATACAGCAGTTAAGATGCCACTTGGAGCCGGCACCGTGGCTCACTAGGCTAATCCTCCACCTGCGGTGCTGGTACCCTGGGTTCTAGTCCCGGTTAGGGTGCTGGATTCTGTCCTGGTTGCTCCTCTTCCAGTCCAGCTCTCTGCTGTGGCCTGGGAAGGCAGTGGAGGATGGCCCAAGTCCTTGGGTCCTGCACCTGCATAGGAGACCAGGAGGAAGCACCTGGCTCCTGGCTTCAGATCAGCGCAGCGCACCGGCCATAGCGGCCATTTGGGGGGTGAACCAACGGAAGTAAGACCTTTCTCTCTGTCTCTCTCTCTCACTGTCTAACTCCGCCTGTCAAAGAAAAAAAGATGCCACTTGGGACACTTGCATCCCATAGCAGGGTGCCTGGTTCAAGTCCCAGCTCCTCCACTTCTGCTCTAGCTGCGTACTGATGCATACCCTGGTTGGCAGCACATGATCACTCAAGTACTTGGGTCCCCGCAACTCACATGGGAGACCTGAATGAAGTTCAAGGCTCCTGGCTTTAGCCCTGCCCAGCCCTGGGTATTTTGTGTGCAGAGAGGTCTGCGCTGCCTGATTGAAAGCAGGGGCGCGGGCCGGCGCCGTGGCTCAATAGGCTAATCCTCCACCTTGCGGCGCCGGCACACCGGGTTCTAGTCCCGGTCGGGGCGCCGGATTCTGTCCCGGTTGCCCCTCTTCCAGGCCAGCTCTCTGCTATGGCCAGGGAGTGCAGTGGAGGATGGCCCAGGTGCTTGGGCCCTGCACCCCATGGGAGACCAGGAAAAGCACCTGGCTCCTGGCTCCTGCCATCGGATCAGCGCGGTGCGCCGGCTGCAGCGGCGGCCATTGGAGGGTGAACCAACGGCAAAGGAAGACCTTTCTCTCTGTCTCTCTCTCTCACTGTCCACTCTGCCTGTTAAAAAAAAAAAGAAAAGAAAAGAAAAAAAAAAAAAAGCAGGGGCGCTCATCTCCACCAAGCACTGAGATGCCAACCCTCCTTCCCCTTTGCCCTTACCCTGCAGACTCTCCCTCCCCCTCTCTTCTCTCTCCCTCTTTCCCCCTTTCAAATAAGATGAAAATAAATACAGAAATGTTTTTAAAATGTATTTGTTGTCTCACTATGCTACAGCTGCTTTTCAGCTGCTCTTCCACGTTTCAGCCAGGGAGCGAAGGGGAGCTGTGTCTGATCCACAGCTGCTCAGTGTGGAGAGGGACCGCTGGTGCCCTGCAAGACCCAGGACGGGGGTGTTCCTCTCAGCTGAGACCTGGATAAGCAACGGGGGAAAGGCAGAAGAGGTGGCTTCGGGGCAAGGGAGGGAGCGTGGGCAGCTTCTCCATGCCCCTGTGTCTCCCGATGGAGGATCTTGGGATTGGCTGCCTCGCCCCCCTCTTTCCTCCCCTTCTCGGAGATGCCTTTCCGCACTGCAGAGGCTCCACGTTCCAGAACCCCCGTCCCCAGGGTTCCGGAAGGCAGTTAAGATGATTTCTTTATTGGCAACAGTTGTGTGACACCCGGCCAATCTTGGCTTCCCGTCCTTTGGGCTATTTTCTGTGGGAGGTAAAGTGGTGGGAGTTGGCACTCGCCCAGCACCATGGCGTTGGGGGACAGCTGCAGTGGCAGGAGCTTCCCAGCCCCAGGACCGCAGCTTCAGCGGAGTGTTCTCCAACTCAGAGCTCCTCCTGCCCCTCCAGACTGCCCAACGATTGTGTAAGCACCTGAATCGAATCCCCTGGTGCCTGCTTGGAGTAGCTACAGGAGTTTCTGACCCTGCCTTGAACCTGGCCTGCAGCAAATGGCCTGGGGCCTTTGCTGCTGTGTGATGCCTGCCAGGTACCAGTGATGGCAGAAGCTACCAAAGAGACAGCTCCATCTTCAGAAATGACACAACTCCCTCACCCTCAAGGCCTTTTCCTACCTAGGGCAGGGGAGACCAGGAGGCAGGGGCGCGAGCTCCAGGGTGCAGGGAGAGATGTTTTGGTAAGGAGGCCACTTAAAGAAAGACAAGACACCTGGAGCCCTGGGTTCTTTGCACTCTGCTCAACACAGCTGTTCCCTTCCTGACTTCAGGGATTTTTCTCTGTAGATCCCTTTGCACAGGTGAAAAAGACTAGGGTTTTAGAAAAGTCTAAGGATAAAACAAAAGGAATGCCAAAAGAGCCACAAACTTTTACATCCTCAAAATCCATGTTCTAACCCCAGCTTCTGCTCCCCTTGCCTTCCGCCTGTAGCCGCTGCCCAGATCCTGCAGCCTCCCAGCAGTCGAGGTTTGCCTCTTTCCTTCCTGTTCCTGCCCTGTTAGCGCAGGGATTCCGGAGGGGCACTGACATTTCTGCAGCTGCCTGGAGGGAAGCAGCTCACCCAGCAGGAGACATGCAGACAAGGATGGCCCTGCAGCACGTGCCAGCCCCGCATCATCATCTTGCCCAGCAGAGGTGAGATACTTTTACTACAAGTCTTCTAATTCTCCCCAAGAAATAGCTTTCTTAATTTTACATTTAAAAAATGTGCCATTTAGAGTCTGCATTAGGGGCAGTTTTACTTTGTTTTAAGAAAAGATTTATTTATTTGGAAGGCAGAATTATGGAGATGGAGGGAGAAATCTTCCACCTGCTGGTTCAGTCTCCAAATGGCCACAAGCCAGAACCCTAGAACTCCATCCAGGTGTTCCATGTGGGTGGCAGGGGCCCAAGTATCGCTTTCCTGTGTACATTAGCAAGGAGATGGATTGGAGGTGGAGTAATGGGCGATAATAATGGATCCCAGCATCATAGGAGTTGGCTTAATTCACCACACCATAGTGCTGGCTCCTGCAATTTTACTTTAAATGATATCTACCAGTCCCCTCATTTCCCTCTGAAATACCCAGTGAGAACCAGAAATAGACCAAACTGATGGTGGCAGCAGAGACAAAGACAGAAAGTGACTCAATTGCCCAGGACATTTTACCATCTGCAGTACCCATGAAGCCACATCTGGACAAGAGCTTACAGCGGACAGACCCAGGCTGAGGGACAGCCTGCAGAAGGAAAAGCCTCTGTACTCTTTCCAGCTGCCAAGGTCCTGAAGACAGGGACTGCTCCAGCATGACGGAGAATAAATGGACTAGATCCCAGCCTGATAGGGAGAGGGCATTGTTGGGACAGTGGGCAGGATCTGAGTACCACCTTCCTGTGTGGTCGCTTGGCAGGGGTGGCCTTGTTTAGGGGAACTGCCCATGTGGTGCTGGGGCTGGTGAGACATCACCTCTGCAACTTCAACACTTGAGGGGAAAAAAAAAACCAGCTTGAGTAATTTGGCAACAGAATAATGACAACAGGAATATTCATAGAAAACATTCACAAGGAGGGAACCGCCAAGCAGCCCTTTGCTATTCTTCTTGCAACTTTTCTGTCGCTTCTATTTGTTTTAAAATGAAATTCTAATAAGTTCTGTGTGTTGCCAGCACATTTTTCTGTTTAAATATATATTTACATACAACAGGTAGGTAGTTAAAAATGTTCACGGAGCATGCAATTGAAAAATGTCCATTTTGATGCAAAAAAATCTTTGAAATTCATCATTTTTTCACAATACCCATTTCCGTTAACTTTTTGAAGGCCTTTCCTAGACTTGAACTTTTTTTTTTAACCAAAATTTACCTTGCAATTCTGCTTTCCATGAACCATTTGAACACCTATCATACACGTGTATTTGTAGACGCTTGGGTTCGAACTTAGACTGCTTAAGTCAGAATTTGGGGGATTGGTATCCTGATGTGGGGATTAAACCAAACAAACCCTCCCCGGGGGGGGGATTCCGGTTGCAGTTTAAAGTGAGACCCAGCGCGGTAAATGACCATGGGCGGGGCGGGACCAGCCCGCGGACAGCGGCTCTGAGAGCGCGCCAGGTGCGCCGGCCCCGCCTACCCGAGGGCCCCGCCCCGCCTCGGGCGCCCCGCCCCTTCCCGAGCGCCCCGCCCTCCCCGGGGCGCAGGTGAAAGGCCGGGGCGTGCCGGCCTTCGCTCACCACCATGGACGCCGTGCTGCCCGCGCCTCAGGCCGAGGTGCTGGAGGATGTGCTGCGTGAGCAGTTCGGACCGCTACCGCGGCTGGCCGCCATCTGCCGGCTCAAGCGGCGGCCCTCGGGCGGCTACTCGTCCACGGAGGACCTGCAGCTGGTGCTGGAGCGGCGGCGCGTGGCCAACGCCAAGGAGCGCGAGCGGGTGAGCGGCTCCAGCCAGCCTGGCCTTCGCACCCGGCGCGCGCCCACCCGCGGGCCCCTGGCCACCTCGCCCTCCCGAGGCCCGGCCCCGCCCCTGCCCGGCGCGTCCTGCGTCGGCGGCCTTGGGACCGCCGCCTCAGCGCTTCACCTCCTGGGCTCGTGAGAGACCCGGGCGTTGGAGGGGGCTCGAGGGGACCCATGGAGGCCCCCGACAGCCTCACAAACGTCTCGGTGGGCAAGTGCCCTGCACAGCTTGGCACGAGCGCGCTGAGCTTAACTCGCACCACTTAAGGGCGCCCCCGGCTCCTTTCCCCTGCCCACTGCATCTTGGCCTGGAGGTGGGGAGAGGGTGGGGGTCTGGCGGGATTACCTTTTTTTTTTTTTTTTTTTTAAGTGACGAAACACCACGCCCCAGGATGCAACCCACACTCCTAACCAACTACTCGCGACTGTCGGCCGCCAGGCACGGGACGCTTAACTCCCGGGTTGCAGCGGCACCTGCTGACGGTTTTTGCTATCTGTATGCTTGGCCCCCGACGCCAAGGATCCGCTCTGCTCTCTGCTTTCGCCCATTCGGGGTTTGGTTGAAGCAAAGGCAATTCGCAGCGGGCAGGTGGAGGCTGGGGTTTGGAGGAGTCAGTTCTGCTCGGAGGCTGTTCTGGACACCCCAGCCAGGCCCTTTAGACATTAGCCTCAGTGGTTCCCCCAGGAACTTTGGGAAAGGGCATGAGCAGAATACCGAAAGGACGCTTGCAAGATTGCGAGGGGGAGAGGTTTGCTTTTGACAGGCACCAGGCACTTTGAGAGTAACCGTTGTTTTTTTTTTTTTTTTTTCCTGCTTCGGCGGTCCTTAAAGGAGATTTTGACCCCATGATTTAAGTGGCCCATCCCACCAGGAAGCTATTGCCTTCTTCTTCAGAGTTGGTCCAGGTTTTAGCCACTAAAAAACTAACGACTTTTGCTGTTCTTTGTACTGATAAAACTGACACACCTGACTTGCCTTAAAAGAATGGAGACAATTCGGATAACTACATGCAACATCTTTTTAAAATTGACTTACTTTTTTTTTGAGAGCGAGCGAGCGCGGGAGCGTGAGTGAGCTAGCTTTCATCCACTGGTTAATTCCCAAATGCCCCCAACAGTCAAGGCGGGGCCAGGTTGCAGCCAGGAGCCCAGAACCCCATTCAGGTGGGTGGCAGGGATGCCATTATCTGCTGCCTCCCGGGATGTTCCTGAGCAGGAATGGATTTGAAACAGAGGCCTGGGCTGGAACTCTGATACAGGACGTAGGTGTTCTAAGCAGTGACTTACTCTGCTATGCCAAACACCTGCCCCTACCTCAAATATCTATGTATCCTTCCAGTCTCTTTCTGTGTGTCATGTATGTAATCTTACAAAAATTGTGAGCATCCAGTAGATATCCTTGTAATTTTTGTCATCGAACATTATAAAAAACATTTCCTCACTTTCTTAAATCTTTCAAGCTCTGTGACTGCGTGGCCTGTCATATGAACGAGCCTTCTCTCCTTCCATCTCCCACTGTCAGTAATGATGTTTACAGCTTTTTTCTGGTCCCCAAAGCTATGTGCCTGTTTGATCATTGCCTTGGAATAAAATGCTGCAAGTGGAGTTCCTGGGATACAGGACATGCACAATCTCAGGACTTTTGATACAATTTGCCTAATTGCTTTCTATAAAGGGTTACTAAGTTTTTTTAGTAAAGGGTGCAATATTTTGTTTTTCATGCTATTCCTGTTGCTGGGTATGAATAACAAAGCAGAAATGTTACTTTTTACATGAAAACTGGTGTGTAATTTTTAAAATTGACATAGTTGTACTTTGGGTACAGTATTATAAATTAATACAGTTACACATGTGTTTCCGTATTCTCAAATGTATTTCTGTGTGGTTGGAACCTTTAACCTCTTCTAGTTATTTTGGAATATATAATTAATAGTAGTAGACTATAGATATCCTATGCATGGAGCATCAGAACCACTTCCCCTCCCCAAATGAATTTGGTATCCATTATCTGCCCTCCCTCCATCTGTCCTTCTACCCCCAGCTCCAGTGGTGTCTGTTCTACTTCAATGTAATTGGCGTTTTTAGTGATTATAAATGAGCAAGAATATACAGGGGTTTTTTATTCTGTGCCTGACGTGTTACACAACACAGCGTCCTCCAGTTCCATGTTGCTGCGGGTGGTGGGATTCCACCCTTTTTAGGACTGAACAATACTCCACTGTGTGTGTATGCCACGTTTGCCTTATCCAGGCATCCATCAGTGAACATCTTGGTAGCTTCTGTGTCTTGGTTACTGTGAATACTGCTGCAGTGAGCATGGGCTTGCAGATATCTCTGACACAACGATTTCATTTTCTTTGAATATGTCTCCAGCTGTGCGATTGCTGGATCATATGGTAGTTCTGTTTTCAACTTTGAGGAAGCTCCTTTGTGTTTTCCATGGTGGCTGTACTAATTTTATTCTAAACATCAGCATCTGAGTTTCCCCTTTCCACACCCTTACCAGCGATTTTTTGTCTTTTTGATGATAACCATTTTAATGAGGGTGAGATGATATCTTGTGAATTTGATTTGCATTTCCTTTGATTAGTGATGTTGAGCATTTTTTCTATACTTGGCTGCTTGTATATCCTATGTGCATTCAGATTATCTGCTCATTTTTCAACTGAATTACTTAGTTTTCATTTTGCTGTTTTTTTGAAATTTTTATATTTTCTGGGTATTAATCCCTTGTCCAGGGAATAACTTGTGAATCTTTTCTCTCATTCTGTAGGTTGTCTCTTAACTGTTGAGTGTTTTCTTTGCCATGAAGAAGCTGCTTGGCTTGATATCCCACTTGTTTTGCTTTTGTTGCCTGTGCTTCTGGGGTATTACTCAAAATATCCTTGTCTATACTAAAATATTTTTTTAAGATTTATTTTGAGGGAGAGAGAGGTCTCCCATCTGCTGGTCCGCAACAGCCAGAGCTGAGCCAGGAGCAAGAAGCTTCCTCTAGGTCTCCCATATTAGGTGCAGGGGCCTAAGCACATGGGCCATCTTCTACTGATTTCTCAGGCCATAGCCGAGAGCTGTATTGGAAGAGGAGCAGCGAGGACACTAATCGGCACCCATATGGGATGCCGATGCCTCAGGTGGAGGCTTAACCTACTATGCCACAGTGCTGGGCCCTATACTAAATTCTTGAAATATTTTCCCTGTTTTCTTCTGACAGTTTCATAGTTTCAAGTCTTAGATCTTTTATCCTTTTGTTTAAAATTTCATTAAAATATAGTATGCATATCAAGAAATGCATTTAAGTATACAGATCAGTGATTTTGTCATCTGACTGTTAGAGTCTGAAAAAGCCCACCGCCTGAGGAATGACTCCAAGAGACTTTTCTCTCATGCAACCAGCAAAGGGTTAAAGATTTATTGATTATCCAGCATGCTGGGGCTGTCTGATCATACATGAGCAAAGCAGCCCCGAATAACCAAAGGTTAGGGTTTATAAAGGAAAAAACCGCAAAACCGGGAAGGGGAGAATACATGGTTGCTATACACAGTTGCTAAAATCAAAAGAGTACATAAAATCAAAAGTATATGGTTACTGGGGTCAACATAACCTAAAACCTAAGTGAAATTATTCATCATAATCTTGACAATACCAGTTACAATATTACAATTAGCAATTAGGACTTGACATTAATGTAAGACACAGACAAATCACATCTTTATTAGTCCAGGTAACCCAGGTGCAACCTTTTTACTTTTAAGCTTGAGCAATCATGCTAGGGGGTTTTTGTGCTCTGCCAAGGGTGATGTAGTGCACTGCTATTGTCCGACTATTTGAGATCATAGTTTCAGACCAGAGTCTCAGAATGGAATCTCAAGTGCTCCAAAATGGAGTCCCTACTGTCAAGGTGCTACTTCACTCTGTCTTATTTTTACAGCTGTACCAGGAAGGTTTAAACCTGTAAGCTTAAGCTTAACTTTTTACACCCGCACATATACTATTTTAACTCTTCATGACCATACTCATAACCAACACCCAAATTAAGAACAAAGCATTACTAGAACCTCAAGGATTTTCACCATTCCCCCATCACATTTCCTTTTTTTAAGCATGTGAAACAGTACGTTGTCACTTGCATGGTACAGTTAACACAGCAACATTTATTTTTTATGGTATGTCTTTCCATTTATTTTTCCCAAAGAAACCTTTTGTTTAAGGAGTACAAATTTCATAAATACAACTTTAGGAATAAAGTGATTCTTCCTACCCCCATTCCCACCCCACCTCCTCCTCCCTCTCTCATTCTTAGTCCCATTCTCCATTAAGATTCATTTTCAGTTAAATTTATACACAGAAGACCAACTCTATACTAAGTAAAGATTTCAGCAATTTGTGTACATGCGCACACACACACACAAACTGAGAATAAGTTTTACAGTTAATTCTCATACAACTCATTGAGGACAGAAGTCCTGCATGGGAAGTAAGTGCACAGTGATTCCTATTGTTAATTTAATAATAAACACTTGTGTATGAATTGGTGATCACTCAAGGCTCTTGACGTGAGCTGTCAAGGTCATGGAAGCCTTTTGAATCCACAGTCTGTTAATATTTAGACAAGACCATAAGCAAAATAGAAATTCTCTCCTCCCTTCAGAGAAAAGTACATTTTTCTTTGGCCACTTCTTTCCACTGAGGTACCAGCCACAGAGATCCTTCATGTAAGACTTTTTTTTTTTTTTGCCACAGTGTCATAGCTTTCCATGCCTGAAATGCTCTCATGGGCTTTTCAGCCAGACTAGGATGCCTTAAGGGCTGTTTCTGAGGTCAGAGTGCTATTTGAAGTGATTGTAATTCTATGAGTCTGCTGTGTGGACTGCTTCCCATGTTAGAACATTCTCTCCTTTTTAATTATATCTATTATACTAGACACTTGATTTTATTTATATGATCCCTTTAACATTTAATCCTATCTATATGATCAC